AATATAAACAAGTAATAAAAATTAAAGTTCATTCAAGTGCCTCAACTCTCAAACTCCTCAGCAATTTCTTAAGTGAACCCCAAAATACGCTTCTGTATATGATCAGTGAAGGAAGTGCCGCCTTTGACCTCAATGCAAGGATGTTGCCACTTGCGGCAAAGACCCTTTGGCACTGCTATAAACAAAGTACCCCTAGCTAGCTGAATACACAAGTTTATCTTGTTGTTCGTTTCAAAAGTTAATTTACCGAGAATCAAACTGAAATGCGGAAGCAGCCTTCGATCATCTGAGAAGCCGCCAAATGGTAACCTGATCTTTGACACACTTCAGCTTTGATTTCAGGGAATTATGTAAAAAAAGCAGTAGAAAACAATGAGAGGACGTCGCATCACAAAGGATTTGCCATGCAAACTGACACAAAATGCTTGTAATTGCTATAAGACAGGAATCGGGCACCGGGCACCGGGCACCCCCCACTTAACCGCAAAGTGCCCTTTTTGCAATATGATGCCGCATTTTTATTATTATAAAAATTAGGCTTAGCACGTTTGACGGGCACGTGCAATGCCGTGGATTCAAATTAAGTTCACAAGCCTTAATTCTTGTCCCACACACAGCACCGATAATAATAAGCAATGGACTCTCTTGAGGTGGTCAGAAATGCCTTTAAATATATTTAACACATACACTTAGCTCTTCCGCACGTTCATGTCAAACGGAAAACAATGGAGCCAAACTGAGCTCAAGATGTCAGTTCCGGGGCGCAGTTTAAGTGCTCCCAACAAGCAGCTTGTGTCAGTTACTGAGGACGCCAGTTGACAGTCCTTCATACACGCCCACTTTGCTAAGGCCTGGCTGCAGGTTGGCAAGTATACCTCTACCTTAACAGATTGTCAGAGATTTTAGCTAAAGCGACTTAATTGCATGTCACAATTACACTGAGAGAAGTTTCCTAAGTATTTGGCATTAATCGTGTTGGTTTTTTATTTTTATTTATTAGTTTTAGTTCTTGTTATATTGGCCATTCCATTTTTTATTTCATATTTTTATTTTCTTTTATAAATTACATAATCAGAATACATCTTGTTCTTCAGTTACACACTTAACTATAAATATTTAAATACAATTCTTCTTTGTATTTCAGAATCTTAAACTTTTTCTGATGTTTATAATGGTGTCAAATTAAAATGTTACTTAAAACTATCTATGATTTATTCTGTTAATGGTTAATTGACTGTGTCTCAGCTGTTCCTTTCTCGCTCTTCCTTTCTCTCTTACTGGTTAAGTTAACATATTTTAAATATAAATTCTCTCATATATTCAGTTTTTAAGGAAGATCACAACAGGGAATGCACAGACTGTATAATTATTCTGTACTGTCAAGGTTCCAAAGCACAAGGCACATCTCTGTTGTCTTAGTCGTCAGAAGAATTGTACTTAAAGTTAGTTGGTCTTGGATTAATGAGTGACTCTCTTCTCAAAGTCAAACATTCCCAGTTGATTGTCTTTTATTGGTGCAAGAGAGCAAGTAATTCCAGTACCGTAATTATTATTTATCTTAACTCAATATTAATTATTTCACATTATCTCATTGTGTATTTTTTGTGTTTTTTTTCGAGTTTTTTATGCAATATTGGTTGCTTAAGTTTTGTACAAGTATTATTATGGCCAGAAATCTGTCTTTTCCTTATCAACTTCGTACATATATTTTCCTGTGTAATCGCCTGCGCAGTTATGCTTCCATTCCCTACTCCAAACTGAAATGTGTACATATATATATATATATATATACATATACCTATATATATATATATATATATCTAGATATGGAGGTACATCTAATGCGCCCGCTTTAGGGCTTTAACCTAATAATGATGTTCGACTTACTTTGCGTGACTTATTTTATTAATAAAACGAGCAAATTTGTCTTGCTTTTTGGTCGCATCCAAGGCAGATACACTTTCACACAGCCATACACACATACTTATACACACAGCATCCTAGCTCTTTGCTGTCGTTATTGTTTCTCACATACACCGACCCACCCCCCACAAACCCCCCATAGCTACCAGAGAGAGAGAGAGAGAGAAAGAGAGAGAGAGAGAAAGACGGCTCCATTTCCGTAGTTACTGCATGCGGGACAAGGACGAACAGCTGTTGTTGCGGCAACCCCAAAGCGAAGGACACACTGATTGGCTGCATGGGGTGAAAGGACACACCCACAACCGCGACGAGGTTGACTTTATGGGGTGGTTGTCCGTTTCGGGTGGGTCGTGTAAGGCTATGCCAAATGATTGAATTACTGCCAAGTATTTTTTGCCTAATTGCCTGGGCTTACAGGAGGAGGAGCAGGAGTGGGGTTCGATTGGGTGGATGGGGCAGCCTTGGCTAATACGTATTACGGCCAAATTAGATGCAAGCTGTTGATGGTTGCTGAGGCATAGTTGTGCATGTGTGCGAATAGCTGAGCAATAGCTCAACTGAAATATAACGCATACGCCGTGTAGCCAGACACAGACAAACAGACGGGATGGGACGACAAGCTGTCTGGCGAGTTGGCAGACTGGCAGACTGGCAGACTGGTAGACAGCGCCATCCATCCATCCATCAAACAGTAAATTAATTATAATAATTGTGGCATTTAATGAATTTAATGCATGCACACAACACAATGGCGGCCATGACACGTTAATTATTTGCAAAAAATGGCGGCTGCGAGATATTTGTGGCTAGAAACGGCGTCAATTAAACTTAACAAGCGTACAGTCATAACCCAGTTAAGATCAGGCATATCAGCATAATACATATGCACTGACATATCTATATATATGTAAATATAATGTATATTCAAATACGATAGATATTGCATAGGTGAACTGCCAGCATTACTGCACATAATCAAGCGGTACAAATTGCTAAATTGCATTCGGCCCGTTTTGGCAGTTTGAGCTGAGATGAGTTGAGTTGATTGTCCTTTCGTGCGTGAGAGAGAGACAACCATATGGTCGCTACACACTGCTATACATGCAAATGGGGGTGTGTTTATTATATATGTATATATGTATTTTTTTCGTTTTTGGGTGCCTCTAAGCGAGCAGCGTAGAGCAACTGCATTGCGGCAGCTAGGGGATGGGCTGGGCAGCGCTGGGCTGCCCTGTATGCTGTACGCTCTGCGCTGTATGCTGCGTGCTGTGTGCTGCATGTCTGGGCACTGTTCAGTTTGAGTTCGGGACATCGCTTAGAGCGATTTGCTGGTTGATGTGCGGTGATTGCCGCAAACTCAACGCGACCGTCAACGAGTAAACAACCTACGCGCGACGGCAGCACATACCAGTACATCCAGGCAGGACATGTCAGCGCTTAATGAGCACAGCACCAGTCCAGCAGCAGCAGCAGTAGCAGCACCAGCGGCAACTGCTGCTGCTGCCGCGGCAGCAGCAACGGCGACGGCGGCAGCAACAGTGGCTGTTGCCAACAGTAAGAGTGTCGCCACAACGACCACAATGCTAACCACAAAAACTCCATTCTCCATTGAGCATATATTATTTCCGAAATTAAATAGTGACGGTAACAATAATAGCAATAATAATAGCAACAGCAGCAACAATCACAACCAACAAAAGTGCAGCAAATATTCAGTGAAAAGTGCCAGGAGTAGTTCCAGTTCCAGCTCCATATCCATATCCAATTCCCTAACCAGTGCCAGTGCATTCGACAATAACAGATATCCAAGCAATCATCCAATAGCAGCATCGGCCTCAACGCGCCCAGCAATAAGTCCAAATCAATCAGCGTCGGGCTATGCCAGCGAGGATTACGTCAAGTCCATGCACAGCCAACGGTTAGTTGAAGATCAAAGATACAATTTACATTAAATATACTCCCCATTGGAATTCATGTAATCAAAAACTTTTAAATTAAGAAGTGTGTTCAAGGTTTTATTCGATATAATTGTACTGTTTTCTTTAAATTCAAAGTGTTCTTTTTGAATAAGCTGAAATCAAAAAATAGATGTATGTATATAATGACCTATATAAGTAAAAATTTTAAAATTTTGATGAAAAAGTGAAAAAATATCTGAAAGAAGCAAAAGAAGTGACATAAACAAATCTGAATTATCTGTCCTTATAATGCAATTCATTACCTTACATTCTATTCCTGAGATTAGCTGAAGACACTGTTGAATTCCATATGTGCTGTAACATTTTTATATATTTTGATGATTCATCAGTCCCGACGGCTAGATAGAAAAATACCTACACAGAATCTATTTATTTCAATTATTTGCATACTTTGCGACTTTTACTGCTGTGCAATTTGTAAACAAATATATATTCCAAAACCCCATCAAATTCCTGCTATGGCTTTCAACCCCAAATCATTTAATAATGAAATCTCTACAAAAATATATCTATTTGTAGGGATCAAATTATTTAATCACCAAAAATTGTCTTCAATCTGGGATATTTCATTTATTTTTTGCATTACTTAGCTGACTTATATTGGCTTGCATTCAATATTTAAAATTCAAAGATATTTTTAACTTAGTCCTATTGGTCTAATAGGAAAGTGTTTGGTTATTTTTATAATGAACGATTAAGGAAAGTGTGGTATTAATTGCCTATAGGTCAGGTCTAACGACACAATGTAAACTGCGGTCGAATAGCCCACCAAACGTGGCCAAACATTAACGCTAAACACAATAGAGAATTGTATAAAGCTCTGCAGTAATCCATGCCATAAGAGGACACTGGCTGGTTGGAATACTTGCCAACACACTCCAGTTGGGCAACCATTTCCAATCCAATCTGCCAATGATGGCAAACTTAAGACCAGCCAAGATTGTGAATTTATGTATTAATATATATATATTTCTGATCACATTCTTACGAGGGGCCGAGAAAAACCGAATCCGAAAGAGTATCACAAAGGGCCAAACATCGACCTTACAGGCCTATAATCGGCTAACCTAACCTAAGCTGCCTATATCAATGCCAAAATATTCACACTTTTTCTTTAATCGTTCATTATACAAATATCCAAACATTTTGGCTATAGCCATGCCTAAATAAATTCACACTTTCGTTCATTATAAAAATATTCAAAAATGGTCTTTCATGCTCATTAAAATAGCAAACCTGCTCATCTAAATGCTGAAATATCAATAATTATCGTTTACAGTACACACCAGCAACGGACACAAGCATCACACTATGCCCATGCCAGTTCGGGTCAAGTTACCGATTCGACCATACAGCAAATGACATCGACACAAGCACCAACTGCTCCTCCACCGCCACCGCCACCACTGCCACCACCAGCCAATGGTGCCCAAAATGGAGTTCTCTATCCGAGTTCTGCATACAGCGATCACGGATTTCTGCAGATGACGCTGGGCTATCTGTCGCCATCGTCGGGCACGTACAAGTCGGTGGATCCCTACTTTCTGTCCCAAGGTACGTTCACAATGTCAATGGCCATTAGCAACACCAAAAGTTTGGTCGGATGCACAAATCAATTTATGGGCGCACACAGCACAACACAGCACAACACAACACAACACAACTCTGGTGTAGTCTTGTAATGCAATTAATATTGAAGTCATCTCTCCATCTCCTTGCAGCAAGCCTGTTTGGAGGAGCGCCCTTCTTTGGTGCGCCAGGCTGTGTACCAGAACTGGCATTGGGCCTGGGCATGGGCGTGAATGCGCTGCGGCATTGTCGGCGTCGCAAGGCACGCACCGTATTCAGTGACCCCCAATTGTCCGGACTGGAGAAGCGCTTCGAGGCGCAGCGCTATCTGTCGACGCCGGAGCGCGTCGAGTTGGCGACGGCCCTGGGACTGAGCGAGACGCAGGTCAAGACGTGGTTCCAGAACCGTCGCATGAAGCACAAGAAGCAGCTGCGACGACGCGACACTGCCAATGGTGAGTTGCCTTGAGTTGAGTTGTTGCCCCGGGCAACTTTCTTTGCACAACTTCTTTGGCACTTTGATGCTCTTGGCCAATTAGGCCGCAGTCCTTTTTGGCTTTCAGCAGCCTGACGAAAGTTTTCTTAAACTTATAGTTTTGCCCTAATTAAATTAGTTGCACAATTTACGCAAAAATTCGCAAAATTCTGTCTGCAGAACCCGTTGACTTTTCACGCTCTGAGCCGGGCAGCAAGCAGCAAGGCGATTCCGCTGCCTCCGCATCCTCCACGGATACCAAGCAGTCCAAGCTGGCTGGTGCAGTGAGCGGCACACAGACGGCAACTAGTCAGCAGCTGCAAATGTGCTTCCTGCAGCATGGCTACTCAACGGATGACTACTCCGATCTGGAGGCGGACAGCGAGGATGAGGATAACTCTAGCGATGTGGACATTGTCGGCGATTCCAAGCTATTTCAACTTACATAGGCTGAAGGTGGGTGAGATTTCGCAATAAGACCAAGAAATTAAGAAAAAAAAACAAATTTCAATCAACTTAACTATTAAATATTCAATTAAGTTTGCAATATATTTATAGCATACGGAAAGTTTACAATTAATAATTCTTTAATGTTGAAATACTTGGCACTTTTAAAGAATAATAATATTATTTATCAAAAGAAGTCTGTACAATTATCGTAATACATCTGTAAATAATTATTAATAATAGATCGCCCGATTGAGCACAAGTCTAGTCACAGCTACATTTAAGATCAATAACTGTATACATATTTAAAACCTAGTGATTTTATTCGAGTACTTCCATTTTAAGATCTCTGTCACATACATACACACTCTCTCTTTCTCTCTCTCTCTCTCTATCTATCTCTCTCTAAATCTGTCTTACTCTCGCAGTCTGGGAGTGCGTATTGCTCTTTATGGTTATAATAATGTGTTAGCCAGCCTAGTATAAATGCATTCAATAAAAACTCATGTGAAAATTGAAAGTGGTTTGAGTTCCTATGGTCATGTTTGCCGTGCAATCAAATCCAATTGAGGACCAACAAAAAGTAGGCACTAATCAGGTTAAACTGCCACATTTCCATAGGGTTGAAGTAACGCTGCCCAAGACCACGCCCACGCAGGGGTGTGTGCTTTTGTAGAGGGTGAACTTCTGAAGTGCTCTCGACAATGGCAAAATAATTGCGGGTTATTAGCAGGCCATTTAGTGAGACACTTTGTTGAGTCTCGCCAGCACAAAGTGGTTGAATGCCTCCAATTGACTTGTAATTGTGGGTGCCAGTGCCGATACCAGTTCCGGATTACTTCCAACGCTGCTTTAAAACTTTCCATATGTTTGCTGTTAAGGTAAGTACTTTTTGTGCCTGGGTCCTGGGTTTTATTTATTTTAACTGCAAGTTCATAACAGTTTGAATCTATACAATATATGTTTTCATAAACAAGTCATTTAAATATTAACTTCATAGGTAATATTAAGTTTTTTTTCTAAAGTTGGCAGTTCACCAATTTAGAAAGTTCATATAAATATTTCCATATATTGTTAAATTATTACAGCATTTCGAATCTGTGGAATAGATTCTGCTAATTTCAATAACAATCTCACACATTTCACCTACGTCAAAGATTCAAAGTACAAAATTCGTTGTAGAAAACATATTTATTATTAAATACTGTTGCCACAACAAAGTTGCGCGTGTTTTAATTTTATTTTAATTTCGTTCGCATATTGACTAACATCGAGAGCAAATCATGCTCGTATCAGGCAAAGCATAAAACACTATTTAAGGTCACAGCAATGACAAGAACTAACCAGACACATAAAAACCGAAATCCATTCAATACAAATGTACGAAATGTTTACTAATATAGTGTATTATATGGATTATTATCGTGCACATTTGTGAATGTTATCTAAAGTGGGCAAAACCTCAAATTAGAGTCGAGCCTCCCCTGTAATCAGGAAAAAACTGATTTATTCAGAAGTGTAACTTTTTATAAACATCATATCATTTCATATCATGTTTATAACTTCCCATTTTCTTGTACGCCTTATTAACTTGCTACAACTCCAGTTTAATAAATTTTTCTTCCGTTTCTCTGTTTTACCCTACCGATTAGCGTCATCGCCTTCTCTCTCTCTCTCTCATTTTGTGTGCAGACAACTCTGCTCATTAGCTCAATCAGCATACATGCTTAAGCTAACTGCATGGGAGCAAGTCTCGCTCTGTTTGTGCTCCCTCTTTCTGGGTCTATTTCGATCTCTTCCCTACACTCTGTCGTTTATTACGAGTCATTTACATGTTATCAGTTACACATACTACTCTCATAAATGAATAGGGCAAATTGCCTCAGTTATTGCTATAACAGTCAAGAGGTTCAATTTTAATAGACAAAGCTATGAATATTTCTATAGAATGTCGCATTTGCCTGCTGGCATTATATATGATAAGATATATTATTCTAGATATATTTGATGCGTGTGGGGCAAACTACTACTGTTCGCAGGGTATACTCTTAGTCGTTCATCGCTAGGCAATTATTATTTTCTTGTATGGATTTTTATGCCCGTCTGGCAAATGTTGTGACGTTGCTTTCGTTCGCCGTTCCCATTGCCAGCTGAAAGTCAACGTCGCTCAGTCTCTTTAGTACAGCCGTCGATAGCGGTTCTTTGGTGGTGCCTTTTCTCCGTTCATCAGTGTTCTGTTTTGATCAGTTCGTTTATTGTTGCCATTGCTGTAAGTGAAAGTTCTTTTGCATTGTGTTCATTACATTACAAACACTCGTGTGGAAGCTCCACAAATGTTGCCTTCCGGCAGATTGCTGGGTCACTGCAAAGTTATAGACAAGTTGGCGATACTTATAGATGGCTCACATAGCAACATAACTTTTGCTAGATATATATATTAATATGTATCTAAATAAAATCATGTGTTTTTGGTGTTTCCAAAAATAAACTGGGGCACGTGTCGCTGCTCTAAGCAAAATCAGCAAAAACTTTCTGCTTGTTCCGGTTTCTATAATATTTTTCTGTATAAACATTGCATGCACATAAATATGTATGTGTTTATATATGAATGTGTGTGTGCGTGTGTGTAGCAACTGGAACAGGTTATCAGTGAGCTCCTCATAGACACAACAACCAAAAAAAACCACACATATACATATAAAATAAATAGACAAATTTTTGATAATAAGTTTTCATGCAACAAGCAAGCCCAATCGTCTGGTATCTCTCGATTGGAGCCGTCTTTTGACCTTCACACTCTCTGGAAGGCGTTGCCTTTTAATTTTGTGTCATTGTTGTTTGCTTGAAGGAGCCACAGGAACCACATTATTTACTACTATCCCCAACGATGGCGGCCAGTAACGGTGATTGTAAGTGAAAAGTCAAAGCCTCGCCCTCCTTTCTCCTGCCTGTTCCGATGCCTGCCAATTTCCTGCCACTTCCCCAACTTGCACCACAACTTTTAATTTATTACTTACCCAACTAGTTAGCTGCACCCCTGCACCTGCTACCCAAACCACAAACCAAAAGCTATAATTTCTGAAACTACTGTAAAAGTCGCTTACTTTTTGAAAATAGCACAGTTTTCGAATGCTTGCAAGAAGGGCAATCGATTTCTACTTCACTAACTCTCGTTTGATATTAAAACTTTATTTAATATGCTTATTGCACTCTAATTGTTTAATGTTTCTAGTTAACTAGCAACTCAAGCTTTTGATTGCTTAGAACAACAATTTATATTTTCAAAAACTTAGCAATTATTTATGTATATCAGTTTGTGTTTATTTATATCTGTGATTTTCAGTTATATAAGGCGATGAGCAATACCTTACTTTTTACACATTTCATTGTGAGATTAACAAATTAATCTATTAACAAATTATATATGTTAATATGTTAAGCCGAAAATAGAATTGCAATTTTATTTCTTTTGGCTAATTTATTCAAAATTTGAATTAACTTTTATTGAGTAATGTTTTGTGACGTATCCAAATTAAATAGTCACTGAAAATTTGTTTTTTTTATTAATTGTTTAATACAAGATTAATATTGCTCACCGCTAATGCACACATTTAAAGCCTTCAAAATTCAAAATTTGACTAAGTTTGCATCCCACCGTGCAGCAAAAATGACCCAACAGGGACCTGCCTTTGACTCGAACGCGATGACGCTGACGCGTTTCGTGTTGCAGGAGCAGCGCAAGTTCAAAGAGGCGACGGGAGATCTGTCCCAGCTGCTCAACTGCATACAGACGGCCATAAAGGCGACGGCGTCGGCAGTGCGCAAGGCGGGAATTGCGAAGCTGCATGGTATTGCGGGTGATGTGAATGTTCAGGGTGAGGAGGTCAAGAAATTGGATGTGCTGTCCAATGAGCTGTTCATCAACATGGTGAAATCATCGTACACCACCTGCCTGATGGTCTCCGAGGAGAACGAGAATGTCATTGAGGTGGAAACAGAGCGACAGGTGAGCACAAAAGGAGTTCCACCCCCGAAAGGATTGCTGATAAGCCAAATTGGTTTTGTTCGCAGGGCAAATATATTGTTTGCTTTGATCCGCTGGATGGTTCGTCCAACATTGATTGTCTGGTGTCCATTGGCTCCATTTTTGCCATTCATCGTAAGAGAAGCACCGGTGAGCCGACAGTTCAGGATGCACTCCAGCCGGGCAATCAGCTGGTGGCTGCCGGCTATGCGCTATACGGCTCCGCCACGGCAGTTGTGCTGGGTCTGGGTAACTCCGTCAACGGCTTCACCTACGATCCAGCGATTGGTGAGTTTATCCTAACCGATCCCGAAATGCGTGTGCCCGAAAAGGGTAAGATCTATTCCATCAACGAGGGCTATGCCAGCGACTGGGACGAGGGCGTCCGTAACTATATTTCGGCCAAGAAGGATCCCACTAAGGGCAAACCGTACGGCGCTCGTTATGTTGGCTCTATGGTTGCTGATGTTCATCGCACCATCAAATACGGCGGCATCTTCATCTACCCGGCCACTAAAGCTGCACCCAATGGCAAACTCCGTCTGCTCTACGAGTGCAATCCCATGGCCTATCTCATGATCCTGGCCGGCGGTTTGGCCAGCGATGGCAAGAAGAGCATACTCGATATTGTGCCTCAGAAGATACACGAACGTAGTCCCATCTTCCTGGGCTCCAAGGCTGATGTCGAGGAGGCTCTTAGTTACCTAAAGTGATGTGTCTTATAATTTTTTTTTGGAATAAATAGACTTTTGTATGTAATATGTGACTACAATTTTGAATAAATAGAATAAAAACTATTTTACATGGGATATTAATCACGTTTATTACATAACGATGCAAGACGATAATAGTATTTAAAAGATTAGTAGAAACAACTCTCGTTAGTCTTATTAGCTAAAATTGGTTAGGCTTAACAGAGTCAAACTTTAACTTAAGCTTGTACGTTTTTAGCGTTGTCTAAAACGCATTTGCCTTGTGCTTGGGCACAAAACTGAATCCTTCAGGTACTTTCCCGAGCAGCATTTCACTGAGTTTCACCCAGTCGGAGGCATTTCCTGAACTCATCAGCGTTTCCATTTCATCGCGTCCCCGATATTTTTGCGGTCTCTCGTTGATTTTTTGCGGCGGCGACAGCTGCAGCTCCTCGGGTATGTAGCGATAGAGGAACGACTGCCACTCGAGCAGGAAACGTCGAGTATTCTCCACACCCTTGGTATCGGAGCCCCAGTGCTCCAGTCCGTAGTTACAGTAGCGACGCATCAGCTCAAAGCGTTGCGTCGATGTGGGCGCCCAGGCGCGCTGCTGCTTAATCTCCTGAAATATCCAGGGCTTGATGAGCGCACCGCGTCCAATCATCACAGAGCTGACATGCGGAGCCATTGCACGTTTCTCCACATAATCCTCATAGCTGAGTATGTCACCGTTGCCAATGACGGGCATCTGTTTCGCCTGCGCCGCACACTGCTCGATGTACGTCCAGTTAGCCTGTTTCATGTAGCGCTGTTCGCGCGAACGTCCGTGCAGCGTCACCGCCGCAGCACCCCACTCCTCCACCAGCGGCATCAGCTCGTGTGCCACACTCTTATCAGCATAAATCCCGGTGCGCATCTTGACCGTAAATGGCAGCTGCGGTGACAAAGACGAACAGCTGCGCACGACGAGCTCGAGGATGTTGGTGCGTCGCATCAGGGCACTGCCGCCACCCTGCTGATAGATGAGATCAATGGGACATCCAATGTTCAGGTCGATGTAGTCCACGCGCGACGTTTCGTGCAGCACCTGTGCTGCTTGTGCGATCACATTCGGATTGTTGCCGCACACCTGCACGCCGAAGATGTCCTCGGTCTCGTGCCGCTTGGTCAGCGCCCACTCCTGGCCCAGACCCTTGAGCAGCGGCACTGCGCATGCCATTTCGCCACAGGTGATGTCCGCTCCAAACTCCTTGCAGATGCGGCGAAATGGCAAATTACCCACAGTTGTCAGCGGCGACAGGACAAGCTTTTCACGGAAATCAATGATGGGCTTGCGTTCAACATCGCGTCCCGCTGGGCTCTCATCGATGACGCTGCCCGTGGGTTTCGCTGGCACTGCTTTGGGCGTCTCATCCATAGGCTGTTCCTGCTGCTGCTCTTTTCTAGCATCGCGCAGCTTTTCAGCCTGCTTAATCAGCTCCTTGCAGCGGCTAAAATCATATTCGTGCTTGCGCAAACGCACCTGCACCTCTACAATAAATCAACAAATAAATATGAGTGATCTTATGCAAATCGATAGGTGATGCTCACCTGAACTGATGCCATTCAAGGTGGTTTGTGGGGCTTGCACGTCGTAGTGTGCTGCCTTCATGTTTCTGCCCTGTGCATCTGTGTGCGCCTTGGCAAAGCGACAGGTGACACCGCGAGCACAATAGCCTTTGGTCGCATACACATAGCACTCGCTTCCGAGTTCCTCCCCCTTCCCCGCTATAAACGCATCCAGATCGTGCACGTAACGGCAATTGGGCAGGGAACAGGCTGCGCCGCCGGGGCCATCGATGAGCGAGTGACAAAGATGCGAGAAGCGCTCGTCTTTGAAAATGGGCCGATGCTAAGCAAACAGTAGGCGAATCGGTGTAATATATGTGTGTCTGTTATATGTAATAATATACATCACAATTGCAGTTGACTTTATTGTTTACCTTATTCTGGCCACGTTTTCGCTCCTTTTTGCCGTCGCGCTTGTTGCTTTGCTCATTTTGTTTTTCGGCATCATCCGTGTGTTTTCTTTTGTGTGATTCGCCTTCTTCGGCGGGCTTTATCCCGCCACCTTTGGCCTCAGCTAGTAAATACCTATTTAAATGATATGAATTAGCTTTACAAATTATGTATAATTATCTAATAATAATACACACTCCGGCTTAATATAACATATACCCGGCTCCATTGCGCTATGTGTGTTTGCACTAAAATTAAAGGTTTTAGCACAAAAAACAAACCGCACGTGCTTGCTTCGAGCCTTTATATCGATTAATCAATTACAATTTTATCGATTGCTGCGAGGCTGCTAACTTAACTAGTGCTGATAATGAGTGCAGTTTTTAAACTCAGTTTATTGTTGATTATTAATTGATTGATTGATTAAACTATACGTTTTTTTTATGTGTTAGTCTGTCTTGACTTAAACAACTTTAACCCGCGTAAATGAATATTATTATGAATTTATTTCTTGCACGTCCCGCTTAGGCTGTAAACAGCATACTTGCCCCATTGGCCAATCAGCTGTTTGCGATGGTTCAACTGTTTAAATACCTGCTGAAATCGACAAAATCGGTAAGAATATAAAAACAAACATGTGAACATATATATATATTTAAATTATGCATATCCCTTGCAGCCGGCGCGTGCTCATTTTCGGCCCAGCTTCCTGGACACACTGCGTCTAACGGTGCGTGGGGGACATGGCGGCAACGGTTTGCCCAAATACGGAGGAGTTGGTGGCCAAGGCGGCTGCGTCTACTTTGTGGCCAAGGAGGGGCACACGCTGCGTAAGGTGGCGCAGAGCCTGAAGGATAAACGCGTGCATGCCACAAGCGGCGAGGACAGCAGCAAGCTGAGCATTTTCGGGCGTCGAGGCGGCGATCAGCGCATAGAAGTTCCAGTTGGAGTCCAGGTCTACGATGAACAGCACAAACTGCTGGCCGATCTCAATGAGGACGAGGCCAGTTGCATAGTGGCTGGCGGTGGCACTGGCGGCTGCACGGGCAACAATTTCCTCGGTCGTCCCGGCGAGAGTCGCATTGTGAATCTGGATCTTAAACTGATTGCAGATGTGGGCCTAGTTGGGTTTCCCAATGCTGGCAAAAGCACCCTGCTGAAAGCCATTTCCAATGCCAAGCCCAAAATAGCCGCCTATCCCTGTAAGTACATGAACTGTAGCTACAGGGTGTACAAATATAATCCTTTCGTTGCTCCGCAGTCACCACGATTCGTCCGCAGATTGGAACGATTGAGTACAGTGATTTGCGTTCCATCAGCCTGGCCGATCTGCCGGGTCTCATTGAGGGCGCTCACGCCAACTTCGGCATGGGACACAAGTTTCTGAAACACATTGAACGCACACGATTGCTGCTCTTCATAGTGGACATCTTTGGGTTTCAGCTCAGTCCGCGGCATCCGCATCGCGATTGTTTGGCCAACATCTATGCGCTGAACAAGGAGCTGGAGCTATACGATCCGACGCTGCTGGAAAAGCCCTGCTTGCTGTTGCTTAACAAAATGGATAAGGAGGGTGCACAAGACATCCTGGCAAAAGTGGAGCCTAGCATAAGGGATCTGTCTGTGGGTCTGGCAGAGTGTCCAGAGGAAGTGCGTCCCAGTAGAGTGTTGAAATTCGAACACATTTTGCCCATATCCGCCAAAAATGCAACACGAATAAGCCAAGTGAAGAAACAATTGCGCAAAACGCTTGACGAGCTGGCCGAGGAGCAACTGGTAGTTGATGGACAGGTGTTGAAAGAGCAACTGCAGCAGCGGGTGGGCATAAGAGGACCCAAAATTACATAATACATTTTGTTTACAAATGTTATAAAAAAAAAATAATTATGTATTGTAGTCGTTTGGTTAAACGTTTGGTTAACTGAAGCTGTCTTCTACGCTTAGTGATAGAAGAATGGGAAAGTCGGATATTGGCATTATTTGCGAATTAGAATTCAAAGCATTTTAGTTTATCAGCCATCAATTGGCTTACAATTTAAAGCCCAACAGGACATTATTCTTCGTCGAAGTTACAAGTTCAAATCAGTTCATGCCGATAGACTGCTGTCGATAACACCGATATCGATATTTGACAAATAATATTGCACGGTTGCTGCGCCTTCAGTGCTCATCACATCGCTAGGCAACCACACAAACACACACACACGCACGCATGCAGGAGTTTGTTGTCGCGCGTCGCGCTAAAACAACGAAACGAAAAATGTTGAAAAATTCATCGCTCGCGCCTAGTGAAACAAATCCCAATTGGTGGCTAGCGGGCTGCATGTGCTTCGAGTGATAACAATATATAAAATGTGTCCAATTGGCTGAGCAGCGCCGTCTCAATTATATACAAATTGTAATAATGACATTTCGATACATACACACACACACACACATGCAAAAATCTTACTAGACAGGGGGGCAAAGCAGAGCAGAGCAGAACACTGAAAAACTGGTATATAAAAGACGACGCCAAATGAAAAACACAGAGCGTTCGTGCGCGAGCGAGAGAGAAAAGAACGCTGCGGGTGTTTTCTCACCATTGTAATTGCAACGGCTGAAAATTGCCAAAAACAAAACAAAACAAAAACCAAATTATTTTATCTCTAGCGTAATGTCACAACAACAACACAATCCCCCTCCACATCACCAACATCAACATCACTACTATCAGCAACAGCAGCAACAACAGCAACAACAACAACATCTGCAGCAGCAGCAGCATTTGCAGCATAAACAAATACAACAACAACAGCACAGTTGGTACTCACATGTTGCTTCCTATCCGCCCCCGCATGCCGCTGCCTTTGCGTCGCCCTGCAAAAGCAGCAGCAGCAACAACAATAACAACAACAACAACCACATTATGAATGCATACGGCACGGGTGCAGGAGCGTATTATGGCTCAACGGGGCCGGGTGGCGTTGGGGTTGGCTACAACCTTGAGGCCAATACTGTGGCCTATGCGCACAACCAGCTGCTGCAATACCAACAACAACAACAGCAGCAACAACAACAGCAGCATCAGCAACAACATCAGCAGCAGCAGCAGCTCAGCCAGCGCTCGTATATGCCACCACATATAATGCACAGCTCGTATCCGTACATTAAGAGCGAACCTTTGGAGCCACTGCCCGAACGCCATCAGCAGCAGCAACAGCAACTCTTTCAGAATCCTATGGCACCGCCGCCAGCACCCGCCATTGCTAATCGTCATTCGCTCGATGCTAGTGGCGAAATGATAATTAAATGTAAGTATCGAGGTTTAGGAATATCGATATCCATACTCTCCACGCACTCATGCAAATACTAGCAATGTAATAAGTAGTGATGGGGGCGTGTCTGATTTCCCCAAAGCAACGCGAGCTCTCGAACCCCAAATTAGATAAATGCACGCAGTGATAAATGGTTATAATTATTATTTTTGAATTTATTTATTTTGTGAATGTTGACAGATTATCTTTTAAAAATATGGTTTCCAATATGAGAATTGTTACTCATATTTTATTGTATACAATTATTTTATCTATACTTGGGGGTTAGGTAATTGCACCTAGTAATAATCACAGCTTGGAAAATATTTTTCTTTGTGGCAAGGTGAATTGAAATTTGATTTAATCCTCAATTGGATGTATTTGTCCAGAAATATTAAAATTTACAGTTATCATATTTTTTAGTTGAGACACGGGTCCGACTCTAGTAATAAGCAATTGGTACAGACATCCGCACACACACAGACACACACACACGCATACAGCTAAACAAAGCAAGAGAGCGAATGTGGGGGACTACTGAGAGCGAGAACACAGTTACAGATACTTTGGTTGCCCATTTTCCTATAGCGTAAGTAGCCGTAATTTAGCTCCGTTTTTGGCGTCGCCGAATCAATAAAACGTTTTGTTACAGCGTTGAGTTGAGTTGAGTTACGCTGAGGTTTTTGCGCTTGTTCGTTCGGTTGTTTTTCGCCAGGGTTTTCGGTTTTCAATTTCAGTTTTCGGATTTTCGGTTCGTCTACGTACCGTTTCTGTATCTCTGTTCTATTCTATTCTGTTCTGTTTCTGAGTGCGTTTCGTCTGTCTGCCAGTCTCTGTGTATGTATCCACTTTATTTATGTATATATACTTATGTATATGCATACCCAGATAGATGCTATATATTACCGGCTATAACCCTAAAGTTTCTGCACATACACATCCATCTATCTATTGATGACATTTTCCATGTGTGTGTGCGTGTTTATTGCGTTGGTTCTCATTTTCAAGTCTCGGTTCTTATGTAACGTTGTACGTTCCCTAATAGATTATAAGTTTTGTGTGTGCATGGAATAGACTTTCGTTACCAATAGGGCGGGGCATATGCATATACGTATAATAAATATTTAATAACTAACGAAATTTATTTATTTTTTCAATATATATATATATATTTTATTTTGTTAAAACCACATATTATATGGAAAAAGAAAGTAATGTATTTTTTGATATTTCCTTTAATGATGCTTTCGGAAAATGAGAAATAGTAAAATACATATGCGTTTTCTTATTTGTGTATACATATAAGAATGGAAAATGAAAAACACTCTCACTCATGTTATCTCCGTTTCCATGCTTATCAAAACAGCCACCAGAGAGAACAACTCAAAACAATTAAACAATATGTACAGATGTCTGTTTGTATTTCTACACACACAGATACATATGTAAGAACCGTAAAAATGTGAAGAAAAAAAACTGAAGTTCCATAGTTTCTAGGCACCGATTTTATTTTTTCAATTCTGTTTTCATTTTGGTGATAATTTGATTACTTTGTGTTGCTTAGAGCTGAGAGTGTGTTAAGAGTGTATTCCGTGAAATGTTATGCACACATCCATTTGTATTAAATATGGAATAACACTGCTTTTTATTTCAACTTTATTCACTACACACATTTAGAAGCAGTCTTTGTTGCCATTATGTTAATTATATATATTTTTTGAGAAGAAAACATTATACAATTTGTCGGCACATTTAGTGAGTCTGTCAGGTTAGGTCGTGCGAATACACTATAATTATATATAGAGGTATAGAAAATTAGAGATTATTTTTTGTATAAAATTTGCACATACGATCTGTGTCGATAAATCTACAAAAATAGAATTCTAAATTTAAAATTAATTTTCGTTAAAGTGCAAAATCAGCGAAAGTAAAATAAGTTTGATAATGAATTGAGATAAAACGTATTGCATATTAATTAAAAATGTATATTTAACATTTGGCAGCGGAACCCATTGACGAACATGCTTTCAAGTCCAACTATATCGATGATAATACTCCCTTTGCCGATTTTAGTAAATATCCCGAATTCGGCGACGATATGCTAAGTCCCAAGCTAGAGCTAAACGTCAAGGATGAGGCCTATGGAAACCAAAAAGTGGGTGCAAACATTAACATTCCATAGATTTTGCTATAATTATTAATTTAATTTCTTTAAGAACCCGCTGAACTACCCACGTCGTAAGCTCCAAACGGATCGCTCCGCGGAGAGTATGCCCATTTGTCAGCGCTGCAAAGAGGTGTTCTTCAAGAAGCACATTTACCTGCGGCATGTGGCCGAGAGCAGTTGCAGCATACACGAGTATGAGTTCAAGTGCAACATCTGTCCCATGTCCTTTATGGGCGGCGAGGAGCTGCAGAAGCACAAGCATCTGCATCGAACCGACAAGTTCTTCTGCCACAAATACTGTGGCAAGCACTACGACTCGATTGCAGAGTGCGAATCGCACGAGTACATGGAGCACGAGTACGATAGCTTTGTGTGCAATGTAAGGGGGGCTGATGGCTTGTGGTTTACAGCTGGTTACTTTTGCTAATTAACAAACCCTTTACAGATGTGCTCTGTTACGTTCCCCACACGGGAACAGCTGTATGCCCATTTGCCGCAACACAAGTTCCAACAGCGTTACGATTGCCCCATTTGCCGGTTGTGGTACCAAACGGCATTAGAGCTGCACGAGCATCGACTGGCGGCGCCCTACTTTTGTGGCAAGTATTACGCTGCAGCACACCAGCAACAGCAGCAGCAGCAGCAGCAACAACAACAACAGCAACAGCAGCAGCAGCATACACAACAACATCAGCAACAGGGCAACTACAAACTGCAGGATTGTCACATGGGCACCATTGAAAGTGAGTCGCTGTCGAGAATAGTTCCTTTGATATTTCTCATATGCAGCTGCACAGGAAATCTTTCCGATGCATATTTATTAGTTTTGCCATCAACTAATCCACTTTTTATATATTTTAGTGACGCCACCGCAGCACAAGGCGCATGCGGCATTACCGGCAACGGCGGCGCTCAATTCGCTGTTGCAGCAACGCCAGGCGAACGCTGATGGCACCGCTTTATATGCCTCGGCGCTGAAGAGCGAGACGAACGTGAAACTGGAGCGCAGCTATAGCAACTCCACCAGCGAGTCTGGTTACAGTATGCACGAGAGCAGCTATAACAATGCCTACGCCAGCGACAATTCTCTGCATGGCGGGGGCGGGGCAATTGGTGGTCCGCAGGCGCATTCCTCGACGCTGGACGATTCGGAGGATGCGCTGTGCTGTGTGCCACTTTGCGGGGTGCGCAAGAGCACAAGCCCGACGCTGCAATTCTTTACGTTTCCCAAAGATGACAAGTACTTGCATCAGTGGCTGCACAATCTCAAGATGTTCCACATTCCGGCGTCGAGCTATGCCAGCTTTCGCATCTGCAGCATGCACTTCCCTAAGCGTTGCATCAATCGTTACTCTCTGTGCTATTGGGCGGTGCCAACATTTAATCTGGGCCACGACGATGTGGCCAATCTCTATCAGAATCGTGAGCTGACCAACACATTCACCACCGGCGAGGTGGCCCGCTGCAGTATGCCAAACTGTACTAGTCAGCGTGGTGAGAGTAATCTGAAGTTCTACAACTTTCCCAAGGACATCAAGAGTTTGATTAAGTGGTGCCAAAACGCTCGCCTGCCCGTCCAGGCCAAGGAGCCGCGTCACTTCTGCAGTCGCCACTTCGAGGAGCGTTGCATTGGCAAGTTTCGGCTGAAGCCTTGGGCAGTGCCCACGTTACACCTTGGTGCCCAGTACGGCAAGATTCATGACAATCCCAAAAATCTGTATGTGGAGGAGAAGCGCTGCTGCCTCAACTTTTGTCGTCGCAGTCGCTCCTCCGACTTCAACATGTCGCTGTATCGCTTCCCCAGGGATGAGGTGCTACTGCGTCGTTGGTGCTACAATCTACGCCTTGATCCGGCTGTCTATCGTGGCAAGAATCACAAAATTTGTAGCGCTCACTTTATTAAAGAAGCATTGGGATTACGCAAACTATCTCCGGGTAAGCTGCTGCTCAGCATTTATAACATGAAGCAATATAATAATTATTTGTTATTTATAGGCGCTGTGCCCACGCTGCATCTGGGTCATAATGACACTTTTAACATCTACGAGAACGAACTGTGGCCACCGCCAACGCCCTCCACGCCCACCCACAATCATCAGCAGCAGCTGCAGCAACACCAGTTGCAGCAGCAGCCGCAACAAGTGCATCATAAATATCAGCGGCACTCGGCTGCATCCACATCCTCGTCGGCCTCGTCGACATCGCATTATGTGGATCCGGAGCTAAGTGCATCCTACATGAGCATGGGCGCTGGAGGCTCATCGTCTGGCCTTAATGTCAGCGACAGCATGGATGTCTGCTGTGTGCCCAGCTGCGAGAGCAAGCGCCACAACAATGAGAACATCACATTCCATACAATACCCAGGCGGCCAGAGCAGATGCGCAAATGGTGTCACAATCTTAAGATACCCGAGGACAAGATGCACAAGGGCATGCGGATATGTAGCTTGCACTTTGAGCCCTACTGCATTGGCGGCTGCATGCGTCCGTTTGCGGTGCCGACATTGCATCTGGGCCACGACGACGAGGACATTCACCGCAATCCGGATGTGATCAAGAAGCTCAACATACGCGAAACTTGCTGCGTGGCTGTTTGCAAACGCAATCGTGACCGGGACCATGCCAATCTGCATCGCTTTCCCAGCAATGTGCCGCTGTTGACCAAATGGTGCGCAAATCTGCAGCGTCCTGTGCCGGATGGCAGTAAACTCTTCAACGATGCCATCTGTGAGGTGCACTTTGAGGATCGATGCCTGCGTAACAAACGGCTGGAGAAGTGGGCAGTGCCCACACTCATCCTTGGGCATGAGAATATACCCTATCCGCTGCCCACGCCGGAGCAAGTTGCCGAGTTCTATGCGCGTCCCACTGCGCCTAACAATGGCGAGGAGCAGGGCGAGTGCTGTGTGGAGACGTGCAAGCGTAATCCCAGTGTTGATGACATCAAGCTATATCGCCCGCCCGAGGAGTCGCAGGTGCTGGTAAAGTGGGCGCACAATCTTCAGCTGGAGATTGCCCAGCTGCCCAATATGAGAATATGCAATCTGCATTTCGAAGCCCACTGCATTGGCAAGCGGATGCGTCCCTGGGCAATACCCACGCTCAATCTGGCAACTAACATAGAGAATCTCTACGAGAATCCCGAACACCAGATGCTCTACAAGCGGCGCACGCATCTCAAGCCGGGCAGAGCAGCGCGAGGCTCTGAAGCAAGCGCGGGTGGTGTGAAGCCCACCTGGGTGCCACGCTGCTGCTTGCCACACTGCCGCAAGGTGCGTGCCACACACAATGTCCAGCTGTATCGCTTCCCCAAACTCAATCGCTCCACGCTGGCCAAGTGGGCGCATAATTTGCAGGTGCCGCTGGTGGGCAGCGCTCAGCGTCGCCTCTGCTCCGCACACTTTGAGCCGCATGTGCTCAGCAAGAAATGCCCGGTGCCCATGGCGGTGCCCACACTGGACCTCAATACACCATCTGGCTACAAGATCTATCAGAATCCGGCCAAGCTCAAGGCGAATAAGCTGTGCTTGCAGCGTGTCTGCATTGTGGAGAGCTGCCGGCGTCAGCGGGCGCAAGGGGTGCAGCTCTTCCGTCTGCCTCACAGCCCCACCCAGCTGCGTAAGTGGATGCACAACATCCGGATGCGGCCCCGAGGAGCTATGCGACAACAGTATCGCATCTGCTCGAAGCACTTCGAGACGCACTCGTTCAATGGGAAGAGACTCAGTGCGGGTGCAATTCCAACGCTTGAGTTGGGCCATGAGGACGAAGACATATTTCCGAATGAGGCGCAGTCTTTCGTGGAGGAGCACTGCACCGTCGAGGGCTGCGATGCCGTCAAGGAACAACCGGATGTGCGTCTCTTCCGCTTCCCCAACGACGATGAGGATCTGCTCTGGAAGTGGTGCAACAATCTGAAAATGAGTCCGGTCGACTGCATAGGCGTTCGCATCTGTAACAGACACTTCGAGACTGATTGCATTGGACCAAAGCACCTGTTCAAGTGGGCCATTCCCACGCTCTCCCTCGGCCACGATGATGATGACATCGAGCTGATGCTAAATCCCAAGCCGGAGGAGCGCTATATCGATCCGGTCTTCAAGTGCTGTGTGCCCTCGTGTGGCAAGACGCGTAAATTCGATGAAGTACAGATGAACAGTTTTCCCAAAGATCCGGAGCTCTTCCAGCGCTGGCGCCACAATCTCCGCCTCGAGCATCTCAACTTCAAGGAGCGCGAACGCTATAAGATCTGCAACGCCCACTTCGAGGACATTTGCATTGGTAAGACGCGCTTGAACATTGGCTCCATACCGACACTGGAGCTTGGCCATGACGAGACTGATGACTTGTTCCAAGTCAACCCCGAGGAGCTGCAGAGCAATCTCTTTGGACGCCAGAGACGCGTGCAGGATTCCATGAGGATCAACATTAAGCAGGAGGCGCACTCCGACCTCGATGAAGACACTAAACCGGACATTAACATGTCGGAGGCCACAGATCCAAATACAACACAGGTGGTAAACAGTTTTTAGATATTGAGTCTTTAAATATTCACTTGCGGTTTTTTCTTGCACAGGTTAAAATCAAGAAATCTATGACCGATTTCAAGTGCTGTGTGTCGAGCTGTGGTCACAGTCGCCTGGAGCATGGTGCCCGCCTCTTTCCGTTTCCGAACGGGAAACAGCAGCAGAGCAAGTGGCGCTACAATCTCCGGCTGCCTGCTGCCGACGTGGACAAGACGACGCGCATCTGCAGCGCCCACTTCAATCGCCGTTGCATTGATGGTAATCAGCTGAGGGGCTGGGCAATGCCCACACAGCAGCTGGGTCATCAGGAGCTGCCGATCTATGAGAATCCAAAGAATATACCGGGCTTCTTTACGCCCACCTGTGCGCTGGCGCACTGCCGCAAGCGGCGCAGCATTGACAACGATCTGCGTACCTATCGCTATCCACGCAGCGAGGAGCTGCTCGAAAAGTGGCGTGTCAATCTGCGCTTGTCGCCGGACCAATGCCGCGGACGCATCTGTGCGGATCATTTCGAGCCACTGGTGCGTGGCAAGCTGAAGCTGAAGACGGGTGCAGTGCCTACGCTCAAATTGGGACATGACGAGGGCGTAGTCTTCGATAATGAGGGCATTAAGGCGGGTCTGCAGCTGGAGGAGGAGGCGGAGGAAGAAGAGGGCAATGCCAGCTTGAAGTCGTTGGTCAAAGTAAAGACTGAGCAGGAGGATGAGCAGGAGCTAGAGAATGAAGATGAAGAGCTGCAGGAGCAGGAGCAGGATCTGGAGCAGGATCAAGATATGGACGAGGATGGGGAAGAGCATCGAGACTCTGAGGAACATGGCTATTTTGATCCCTTGGAACTTGTGGAAACCTACGCTGAGCACCACAGCGATGATAACTCTGCCGGACATGATAATCTCGACGATGATGATGACGAAGATGAGGACATTCCCGGCAATGACGATGAGCTGCTTCTGCCTGATACGCGGCCACTTCGAATGACAATGGCTCCGCGGCGCGAGAAGGCTGTGAATAATGTGACGCCTATTTGCTGTCTGAAGCACTGTCGCAAGGAGCGCACCGCCATCCATCATCTGAGCACCTTTGGCTTTCCAAAGGATCCGCAGCTGCTGCTCAAGTGGAGCGCCAATCTGCAGCTGCCATTGGAATCGTGCATGGGTCGTGTATGCGTCGAGCACTTTGAGCCCTCGATGCTTGGCACGCGCAAGCTGAAGCAGAATGCGGTGCCCACCTTGAAACTGGGTCATGCCACACCGCTCACCTACAGCTGCAATGGCCGGATGCTGTCGGGCATTTACGATGAACAGCCGCAGCATTCGGTTTTTCGGCTTTGGAGCCTGAAACACTGCCGCAAACGGAAACCGGATCTGGTGGAGATTAAGCCCGGTCGTCGTTGTTGCCTGCCAAGTTGCGGCAAGCAGTCGGAGTCGCACGGCGTCCAGCTGCAGCGTCTGCCCAAGGACCGTCTGATGCTGCGCAAATGGTTGCACAACCTGAAGCTGCCTCCAACGGTGGACTGCACCCAAATGTTCCTCTGCAGCGATCACTTTGAGCTGAATGCGCCGTGTCCCACTTTGAAACTGGGGCACTCGGATACCAATATTTATCGCCACAATGTGGCTAGCACCAGTGGCAGCTGCCTGGTGCCCAAATGTACTTGTGCTCGTCTTAATCTCTATCGCGGCTATGATCTGCCTGCGCATCCGCAGGTGCAACGGGCCTGGCTACACTGGCTGCAGCTGCCCCATCCGCAGCCGTCGCCCCGGCACGCCCAGCTATGTGTGATGCACTTTATGCAGCTCTACGAACTGGTGCCGCTGCCCGAATCGGTGCCAGATGTTGTGCGCAGGCAGCTGCGTGAGACTTACGAACTGATATCCAGCTCCAGCATGGCCATGAAGCTGCGTTGCGCTGTGCCCGGCTGCTACTCGAAGTATACGGACAATGTGCGTCTGACCAAGCTGCCCGTTTACCCCGACACCTGCGCCAAGTGGGTGCACAACACCAAGATTCAATATGATCCGGCCACGACATTATGTCTATCGTATCTGCATGTTGCACTTTGAGCCAGGCTGCCTGGGCCCAGTGCGTCCTAAAGTGTGGGCAATGCCAACGCTGCAGCTGCACCACAAGGATGCCAACATCTATTTAAATCCCAAGCTGGATGGCAGCCAAACACAGCCGGTCGTGCCGCTGGACCTGCCACTGCGCATTAAAACTGAGCTGCCGATGTGCAACAGTCCCAGCTTTAGTGCGAGTGCCAGTCCCAGTCCGCGTGGCAAGCTGCGCACTTGCTGCATTCCCAGCTGCGGTCAGCAGGCTTCGGCCCTGACGCGTCTCTTTCGCTTTCCCAGCGCAGAGACGTCGATGCTGAAGTGGCTGGTGAATACCCAGCAGCAGCCGCGCTTTGTCGATGCACAACGGCTGTTCGTCTGCCAGGATCACTTCGAGGCAGAGGCCATTTGCAAGAATCAGCTGCGCAGCTGGGCGGTGCCAACACTGAATCTAGGACACGATGGACACATCATACCGAATGCCAAGCACAATGGCAACATTGCCGACAGCCAGGAGAACAAGCAGACGCTGCAGTTCATCTGGGCCAACTACTGTTCGGTGCTGACCTGCTTCCAGCAAAGTAGCGAGCAGCTACGTCTCTACCAATACCCCACGGATCGGCCAACCATCCGCAAGTGGGCCGCCAATTGCAAGCATCGCTCCATGCAGGCCAGCAGTGATGGATTCCAGGTACGTTCTGAGTGATACCCTGCACCAGGCTGTGACAGGTTCTCATATATATAAAAAGGATAGAAATAATTATAATATGCTTCCAATATTTGTTTTTCTGAAGCTATCCATCTTTTTTATTTGGTGCTCTGATATATAGGAGCATCTATACCAAGGTTAATGTCCCAAGCTGACCAACTTTTAATTGATAAATAAAGAAAACCGATCCTAAAATCAAATATCTTTCAGGTGTGTCAGTCGCATTTTACGCCGGATTGCTTTGATCCTGATACCGGGGAGCTGAAGGAGGACGCTGTGCCCACACTGGCGCTGAGCCGTTCTGTCACTGAAGTGCGCTGTGTGGTCAATGGTTGCGTTAAGGACGAAGACGCATCGCGTCGCCGTCTGTTCAAGATGCTCAAGCGTAACCCACAGATATTGGATTGGTGTCACAATTTGCGACTCGATCAGACGACTATGAGCGGCTCGGAACAGCACGTTTGTGAACGTCACTTCGAGGCGAACTGCTTCAATGCGTCTAGAGTGCTGCGTCCAGGAGCACGACCCACACTTCATTTAGGTCATGAGGACCTAGACGATGTGATACCCAATCCGGCGAACTGGGAAGAGGATGTGATCGTGTGCTGTGTGCCCCACTGCGAAAGCTCTAAGGATGCGGATGAAGTCCAATTGTTTGGGCTGCCAAAGGTGCGCCAGTTGGCGGACAAGTGGCTGCAAAATGTGCATCTCGATCCGAGCAAAGAACAACTGGCCGGCCTGAAGATCTGCAGTGTACACTTTGAGGCAAGCTGCATGGAGAATGGACGACCCAGCTATGGTGCAATGCCCACACTCCATCTCGGTCACGATGAGCTCGATAATATACACCCAAGCGTAGAGTCGGTGCCGACGCAGCAGAAGCGCTACTGCAATAGAGATGGCGCCAGTCACGATTGCTGCTATCCGCAGTGCGTAGAGCTGCAGAAGAGCTATCTGCGTGTCACCTATGAGCTGCCCCAGGAGCAAGAGCTCCGTCAGCAATGGCTCTCTTATATGGGCCTGGAAGCGCAGCAGCTCGATAAACAGCAGCTGCCCAAGCTCTGTCCACTCCACCTAATCTTGCTCTACGATCACAGTGCGGATCACTTTTCGGCACACGCCGCTGAGGAGCTGTTGGATTCCAATTATGAGGCAGCGCGCAGCAGCGTTCGCATACGCGTTGTCAGCTGTGCTGTGCGCGGCTGCAGAACGCTCAAACCACGCGACGGTGGTCGGCTGCACGGTTTGCCCACGCGGCGAGATCTGCTGGAGATGTGGCTGCACAACATGCAGCTAGTGTTTTACGAGCAACAGCGTTATATGTACAAGATTTGCAGCAAGCACTTTGAGTCCACATGCTTCACGGAGACAACCAAGCGCCTGAAGCCGTGGAGCATGCCTACGCTGGAGTTGCCGGAGCGCCAACCGGGCGAGATGCCCGCCTATCAGAATCCCACAGAGTTGGAGTGGCAACACATGAATGAGCTGCAGGTCAGCGAGAAAGTTGTTGAGGCTCAGCCGGAGCCATTACTCAAGCTGGAGCCGTTGCCCAAGAAGGAGCCACCACCACCGCAGGTTGTGGAATATGAAGAGGATTGCGACAATAACTCACAGCAGCCACTGGAAATGCAGGCTCTGGAGGTGCTGCTCGAGGTGGGCCATGTCGAGAAGTGCACCACCTACGAGCAAATGGATACCGAGGCAAATCTCAACTATGCCGAGCAGTTCTCGCATAATCCCCTCAGTCCAGGTCCACCCCAATGCCGTATCCCCGTTGTCCAGAATGGACTCCACTACAGTGCACGCCACTGCAGCGTGCATGGCTGCAATGTCACCTCCAATAATCTGAGCAGCAGCATCAAGCTACACAAGTTCCCCGTCTCGCTGGATGCCATGCAAAAGTGGATGCACAACACCCAGGTGCTCGTGGACGTCAAATTCGCTTGGCGTTTTCGCATCTGCAGTCATCATTTCATCGATGATTGCTTTCACGGCTCGCGCATCAGACGTGGGGCGATGCCCACGTTGCGACTGGGCTCACGTCGCCCGAAGCATATCTATGATAATGAGTTCAACGCCCAGCTGCAACTGGAACAGTCCAAAGAAGAGGCCAGGGAGGCTCTATCGGCCCCGCTGGAGTCTCAGCAACAGTTGCTCTCTGCGAATGTTGGTCTTCTCCTGCCGCGTCCAGCCCCGCCCTGCAAATCCAGCAAATACTGTCAGATCGAGGGCTGCTCCAATCATTTGACCAGCGAGAATGTGACGCTGCACAAGTTCCCCCATTCGTCGGATATGTGCGCCAAGTGGCAACACAACACTCAGGTGCCCTTCGATCCCGAGTTCCGCTGGCGCTATCGCATCTGCAGCGCACACTTTGAGCCCATCTGTCTAGGCAATGTGCGACTGATGCACGGCAGTGTGCCCACCCTGAATCTGGGACCGCTTGCGCCCAAGAAACTGTTTGACAATGAATTCTTGCGTCTGGACAAGCCAATGAGCAGTTCGGAGCTGGGTATGACCGTCAAACAAGAACAAATGGAGCAATTTGATCAAATGGAGCTGGAAGATGGCAACCAGGAGCAGGATGATTTCAGTCTGCTGGAGCCCGAGCTGCAGTTGCACGAGGATAGCGAGGATGAGCAACAATATGACAATCATTTCAGCCAAAACGATTCCTATAACTGGTCCGATCAGCAGCTGCGTCTGCCCAGCAGTAATCAGGAGAAGTGCACCACCATCTACAATCCGGTCAAGTCCGGGTATGATAAGTGCTCACTGGTCCACTGCCAACGACAGCGTTCCCAGCACGGCGTGCACATCTACAAGTTTCCACGCTCGCGTCAGCTACAGCAACGATGGATGCATAATTTGCGCATCCAATACGATGAGCGACGGCCGTGGAAGACAATGATATGCAGTGTCCATTTCGAGCCGCACTGCATCCGTCTGCGCAAGTTGCGTCCCTGGGCGGTGCCCACGCTGGAACTGGGGGACAATGTGCCGCTGGAGATCTTTACGAATGAGCAGAGCCAGCAGCTGTTTGCTCAGTCCGAAGCAGGCAGCGAGTGTGATGACGTTGAAGTGGATGTTGAGGACACCATACTGGAGGACTTGGATGATGACTATGATGACAATGATGCTGACGTGAATGTGAATGCTGATGATCAAATGCGAACAGCTCCATATGTCAAAAGAGAGCGTCGCTCTCGATTTGATCCTCTGCCACCGGGTCAGCTGCCACCGTGGAAGATCAAATGCTGCTGTTTGCCCTATTGCCGCAGTCCTCGCGGTGATGGCATCAAGCTCTTTCGACTGCCCAACAACATTAGCTCCATACGTAAATGGGAGCAGGCCACAGGCATGCGCTTCTATGAGTCCCAGCGAAACACAAAGCTCATCTGCAGTCGACACTTTGATCCGCAGCTTATAGGCGTACGTCGCCTCATGTCCAATGCGGTACCCAGCCTCCATTTGGGCCCAGACAGCGCAGAACCCGAGCTGCCTCCTGTGGGACCACGTTGCTGCATGCCCGATTGCTCTGAGGACGTCAATGTCCAGCTGCACAAGTTTCCCAAAGGTAAAATTATATAAAATAGCCGTTGAAGTCGCCAAGCTAATCAAAATAACTTTAATTCAATAATAGATCCCATGCTGCTGCATCAATGGTGTCAGGCGCTCAATCTACCGGATGTTCAAAGCTACTCCGGCAAATTCATTTGTGCGGCACATCTGCCCTCCAACGCGATGAGCTGTCTAATTTGTGGCGTGGACGATGTGCAGCTGCCAATGCTGGACTTTCCCCAGAATCGCAATCAGCGCACCAAGTGGTGCTATAATCTGAAAATCGAGCCTCTGCCCAAGTGGGACAACTCAAAGCAAATTTGCTGCAAACACTTTGAGAGCTTTTGCTTTATCCAGCCGGGTCAACTTCTAGCAGAGGCATTGCCCACGCTACACTTGGAGCACGGGGATAGCAACATATTCTTAAACGATGAGGCCATGGATAACAGCAAGTTGTTGCGCGTCAAGGACGAGCCTATGGAGAGCGAGGATCTGATGCTGTAACAAACAACTGAAAATAGTCAGAGCGCAAGCGATATGAATATTGTGTCATTCTATATTCTGCTTACGAATGCCTATGTGTGTAAGCCACATTATTTTAGCCTAGTGTTAGTCGCAACTAATTTATATCACTTAAGACCTAAGTATCTATCATATTTTATATACCGAACTAAGCATCACGTATAATGTTGTAGAGCCCCTACTACTATTAAGTAATCCTCATCTTCACCCCAATCCCAAAGCACACATCATCTAACTTAGTAGCTAATATTATAATGAAGTAGTCGTGGAATCCAGTGATTTTTACTCGTAAATCGTTTATACATTGCTGCTTAGAGTCAGGCCATATATAATTTAGTTTCACACCGAGGCACAGAATGTTCCTTAGTTAGCTTTTGTTTAAATTCATTTGAAATTGTGTAACAGGTTTGCTATTCATTTTTAGTAAATCACAAAAACTTGCAAACAACTTGGTGCTAGCACTAGCAAAAGGATAACAACGTCATTTTCACGATATCATAGTTTTTGCGTTATCTTCTTTTCATTATATTTAAATGTCAATCGAGAGTTTTGCGACCATCACGACACGGAGTCCTTGGAAATATCTTTTTTGATGTGGCCGATCACATGTAATTCGCAAAGGCAAAAAAAAAAAATATTTATAATATCAGCATCGTAGGTATAACTAAGCTGTGTCCTTAATAATAATAAAAGGTAAGCAGGATAAAACAATATGACTGTCTGACTCAACATACCCTTTAATATCTTTAAGCATATACAAATATGTAAACCTGTAGAATATACAAAGTACTTGGTGTCTTATAAAATATGCATATAAAATGAAACTATTAAGCTACTTGCCATAAAAGTAAAACTTGACTTTGACTATAGATATATATATATTTATGTATATATATATATATATATATAAATTTAAAAAAAAAATCTATTCACCGTCCCTTAAGTCTTAAATTAAACCCCGTTAAAGACTACTGTTTGCCAGCCTCGCCTTCATCGGTTTGCATATAGCTGCTGTCCAGAAATAAATTGCGATCCGATTTGTTTGACTGCGCAGCAAGAGAGAAGCAACGATTAGATGAGTGCTAATTGCCATCGAATAAAATATATTTGCACTCACCTCGCGATATTTTTGCAAGTAAATAGAGAGTGGTTCCACGTAGTTGTCAAAGCCCAAATTGTTGAAGGCCACCAGCAAATCGTCACCGTTGACCGTCTTGCGATTCTCGGCGACACTGCGCTCAATGGCCTCGCTACTGATAAATGATATGAACTCTGAGACGCACTCCTGTATGCACTCTCTCGCATCTTTGGCTATTTTGCCATTCTGTGGCACTGGCACTTTCATTATCTTGATTATGTTGCAGATGGGCAGAAAGCGATCCTGTTCGCGCAGCATGCTCCCATGTCCGTCCTGTCTGTCCGAATCGTCTACAGTACGTTAATAGAAGAGTAGGTTAATAATGCAGAACAATATCATGGATTGATTACCGACCACCCGACGCCTCATCCTCCTCTTTGACCAGCATATCGTTAATGTATTGTTGGGAGTCTTCGCTGTTGCTCATTTTTTGGTTTACGCTTGTGAAATTTTTAAAACAAGCATTCATTTATGGCATTCGTTATGCAGGTTGCTCCAAGCTGTCCCAGCGGGAGAAGATTACTTTGAACGCCCAGAGCTAATGCGAATGAGTTGCGTCAAGCAGTTTCCTTTTAATTAACAATAATAATTGAAGAGAAAACGTAATTTGTGTGCTTTTTATTATGCTTGCTAGCAGAGATTCTGATTGTTGTTACAGTTCAGTGTCAAATCTGAAATCGACTGCAGTGCGCTGCACGAGCAAATATATCGATATATTGACGCAGGAATACGAGTAAGGTTCGATATTTTTCGGAGAGCGGTCGATAGCTTCTACTGATCGCAGCGGTAATTTATTTTGCGCATTTTTTTTTCGATCAGCGCGATGCACGAGGAAATTGTGATTAAAACTGAGGAAATTGATATTGATGATACGAAGATAAAGCTTGAGGTCGATGAGGATGGGCCAACATTGGAATTGTCGTGCGGTAAATATATGAATCTATGCTTTTGCCTGCTTATACCCATGTGGGTGTGTGCATTCGCATGTGTTGCGTCTATTTTTATATTACGCACTACCGTTAGCTTTGTCTCTAGTCACGTAAATTTGCTCATTTCTTGCAGCTGGCACCTTTATGAAAATAATCGAGGAGCGGCCGAACATGATAACGATGCCGGTTCACGATTGCAAATCTGAGGACGAGCTCAAATTCATAGCGAGCCTCGGAACTTTCGATCAGCAGCAAAAGGTAACCTAACGCAGGCACATATATATCAAGTATTTAAGTGTGACAGTAAACTTTTCTTTGGTACAGTTATTTGTGACGTCATCGGCTGAGAGTGTTGCCGCTCTTGGCGCATTTGCATGCAAAGTATGCAGCTTTACGTGCGAAAATCACTTGTCGCTTGCGTCGCATCAGATCAATCATCAGCTAAATCGCCACTTCTGTTGCCACGGCTGTGGCGAGTGGTGCAACACGCTCGAAGAGATCCAGGAGCATGAATATCGAAAGCATGCCGATGGAATTAACAACTCCAACTGTAGGGTAAGAGCAATATATTTATACATACATCATAGATGGAGAGATAGGCTTTAGTGTTTGTGTTTATAAAGTGTGGCCAGTTTCCGTTGTTAATTCAAATGTTATTCCTTGCAATGCAGATCTGTCAGTTGGAGTGCATCGATGCAGCCAGTCTCACGAGGCACATGAGCAGTCACTTCTATGTGCGTCGCTTTGTGTGCTCGATTTGCCGCCGACATTTTGAGACACGCTTGGAATTGCAACTGCATCGGCAGAACGGCAATGAGCTGTGCGGTCAGCTCGAATATGCGGATATGCATGGAAATATCGGTCAGCTGGTGGCGATCAGTAAATTGGATACGACACTCCCAGCTGAGCCGTTCTGTGACATAGAAATTAAATCTGAGCCGATGGACGTAGAAGATCAGCTTCCAACTGGTATAATTATCAAAACGGAGCCTCAGCCTGAAGCAGCTGAGTTAAATTCCACCGGCCACGATGAGAGCTGGACCCGAAACAGCCTAGCTGAACAATTGCGCAGCAAATTGCGCTTGCCAGCGATAAAGAAGCCGCCGAAAGAGGAATGTGTAGAGAAACCAAGAGCACCTGTGAATCCATCACACAGTCAGTCTTTACTTGTTCTTAACTTATATATATATATAATAATATTCCTGTCCCTTTGTAGTTGTGACGAGTGGTAAACTGATAACTTTGCCAAACGCTACAGCATCATTGAATCGCTCCAACATTTTAAGGCCAAAGCAATCAGACAACCAGCCCTCAAGTATTTTGAAGAAGAACATTTCCAAACCCAAGACAAATATTTGCGCCAACGTCTTAAAGATGGTGCAAAGTAATGGCATGGTGATTAAAGTGATGCCAAACATGAAGATAATAAAACTGGCACCCACCGCAATGGGTAACACTACCAATAGCTTCAATATTGGTGGCAAAATAATCACATTGCCAAGCTCCATGTCCATAAGTTCGGGACATAAAAACTCAACGGCTGGCCAAACGACAACAGTTCCAACCCCATCTGCTCCCACTTCGCTACAAGCGGCCACACTGACATTGCCCATTAATCGAAATTCCCATTTTAATGCCATAAGTTTGTTTGAGAGTTTGCCAGAGTCTCGCAAGATCATCTCAGATATCCAGAATCAGATACGCAACATAGAGCAAACGCTGCCACTGCCCGGCAGTGTGCTGCAACCGAAAAATAGAAACGCCATAGTGGTGTTGCCTTCGCAGCTTCAGGTGCTTCGACTGCCGCCCACCCAGGAGAGTAATCTGAAGGTACGTCAATTGCGCAACACATATTCCGATCATCGCTTCCACTGGGAGTGTCCGAGCTGTGCCCGCTGTTTCGAACAATTTGCGGCATTTTGCAAACATTTGACAATCTCGCACGACATCGCAGAGGCGAAATTTGAGCACATGGCAGTGGAGGTCAAGTCTTATAAGAGTGAGTATTAGTTGTGCCCCCAAGTCTCTCATTCAAAATTAAACGAATCTTTTGCCTCTTTGCAGAATGCATTTCGTCGACTCCTGCAACTGTGGAAGCGACAGTTCCTATGGTGCCAGATGTTGCAGATGCGGCACCATTAAATGTTTCTGCTGATCCAGATCCTGTGCAGGATGCAGGGGCAGCTGTGGCACCCGAAATTGTAGCTCCTGAGCGAATCTTAACGACCCCAGCGTCTACAATTGTAACCCCCCGACCACCATCATCAGCTTGGTCTGCTCAATATAAATGCGGCGATTGCTCAAAGTGCTTTACCACGATGGGTGGGCTGCGCATCCACAAGATGATTCACACCGGCGAGCTACCACATAAGTGCAACTACTGTGAGAAGCGCTTCCGCACGCCTGGCCAGGTGCGTGTCCATCATCGCAGGCACACTGGCGAGAAACCATTCAAGTGCAAGGTAAACAGTGCAGCGAAATACCCTTCCCTAGATTCTACTGATGTACTTTTAACAGGTCTGCTCACTGGATTTCACACATCGGGAGACGCTCATCTCGCATCTCTCGCGTCACATTGGCATGAAGCGATATAAGTGCTACGGTTGTGATAAGAACTTTGTTGTGGTCAGTGGATTGCGTGCTCATCGCCGTTTACGTCCTGACACGTGCGGCAAGGTCAAGTTTACGGCTCGCGCACACGGACCGCGAGTGCGCGTAATACGCGGCGAAGTCGTCTTCGAATCCCATCCTGAGCACAATGGCTACTTGCGCAGCGAGGACCCTTTAAACATAATGTCTGAGATAAATCAGGCTGCCAAAGAACCGTCTGTGGCCAACGAGTCCAGCTAACGGGATCGTTCTATGTATTTCTTTTTGTCACTTTTATTTTACGTTATTGTTATGATCGTTATTTTTTTTAGATAAGTAGGCACATATAAATTTTTTACAATTGTATTTACAAACTAGAGAGCATGATTGGCTCAGATCGTCAACCCACCGGGACGAAATTTTCCAAATTTATTTTTTGAATAGCGTAGTAAGGTTACAAATAAACAAAAGTTTTGTGTACTATGTACGGGCTATTTCCTTTTTCAGATAAGAAATTTTGTAATTTTACATCGTTAGTGTTCAGAATCACTGTTTTCCTTAAAATATCGAGGCATACTTTCAGGCGCATACAGGCAAATGAAAAATGGCTCTACTTCGTCCAGATCTTTGCATATTCTCTAAAGGGTATAGTGCATTAGAATCTGTTGGGTTTTAAAGCGGCAAAGCGATGCACTAGGTTTGGAGGTTAGACTAAGAAGAACTTTTATTCGATGTATTCTGTTGGGTATCGAGCGCAGTATCGATATTTTCTGTTATTAAAATTAGTAATCAGAATGTTGTATTGATCTTCTACATATTTTCAACACTCCCCCTCAATACACATTATTGACAATTAATTTGAGACCAAGCAATCTATTACAATTTTCATGTTTTGACTTGCTCAAATTCTTAGTTAAGATATCTGCCATCATTTGACTCGTTGGACAATATTCCAGCTGAATCACAAGCTTATTAAAAACTTCTCGCACGAAGTGATAACGAATATCTATATGCTTGCTTCTTGCATGGTAAACTGGATTTTTAACTAAGTTCATAGCGCTCAAATTATCGCCATGAATTACAATACTTTTCATATTTCTGTATATGTTCATTTCGTTACATAATTTCAGAATATAAACAGCTTCTTTTGTTGCTTCCGATATTCCCATATATTCGGCTTCAGTACTACTTAGTGCTGATTGAAGACGTCGTCCTCAATGGGCGCAGCACTTGTTTTGCTGTTGCCCAGTGTTCTTGGTGGGGATCCGTATTCCGTTGAGACAGCTTACATACTGAATGTAAAATGTCAGGTCTGGTCTGGTCGATCAGTGACGGGTACTCTGCTGGTTGACCGTTTTGCATTGTTGGCTTTCACATTTTATGGTGTACTCGGACGCCAACGGTACTGATGCTGGCCGACACGCTTCCATGCCAAACATCTTAAGCAGCTGCAACACATGCTGCTGCTGGGTGATCGTTATCGCCCCTATTATGCCCTTCCTATTGATTTCCACACCATGGAAATTATGTATAGGGCCCTTGTCAACCACCTGGAAAATTCGAGATATGCTTTCCTTTATACTGGCTTATGTTGTTTTGTGTATGCCTAGTATATACACACAGCTCGCTTGGACAGGCCGAAAAACCAATTTTTGTCATCATCTCGTTTAGATTTTTGTTTTACATCCGTCCAGACTGTTTTAGACTTTCGAAGGTTAAGAACAGACACTCCTTGTTCTTCAAACATACGGGGCTGCTTCATGAAAACATCCTCCTGCAATTCTCCATTTAGATATGCCGTGGATACATCAAGTTGGTGCACATGTAGCTCCAGTTCAGCTGCTATGGCCAACACCATCCTTATTGTCGCATGTCGCATATCGCACTACTGGCGGTTTTGTCGTAGTTCACTCCGTGTTTCTGGCGGCAGCCCTTTGCTACTAGCCTAGCCTTGTATCGTTCTATGGTGCCATTTTTGTCACGTTTTAGTGCAAAGACCCATTTGCATCCAATCGCCTTATGATTGGATGGTAATTCGGCTGGTTCCCAAGTTCCATTCACTTTCAGTGCTCCGAATTCTTGTGCCCTGGTCTTTTGCCATTTGATCGCCTGTGGACTTTCCAATGCTTCTTCCACAGTTTCTGGTGTTATGACGTCTTCACTGCTCAGAAGATTCAGCTTGTGCCTCTCGTCGTCTGGTCTTCGCCATCCGTGCCCACTGGTTCTTTCAAGTCGATTACTTTTCTTGCTGATTTCTTTTTTATTGGTATCGGTGTTTATCTTCGCCGGTGCCTTTCCTGCTGCCTCTGCTGCTGGCTCTGCTGCTGCTTCTATTGGACTGCACTTCTGTAATTACCTTTCTGCAATTAAAATCGGGTAACGTGAGTATATCAACTGCACTTGATTCTGCTGTTGACTCAACAAAATATACATCACGGCTTACGATCATTTTACCACTGGCGCTGTTGTAGAGGCGATATGCTTTAGCTTGATCTGCATATCCAACCAGTGTATATGTATTCTATACCCTTCCGTCTACATTTCCGATTCTGTGTCTTGTCCAACACTATCGCCAAGCACCCAAATGTACGAAGGTAGCCAACTGATGGCTTCCGCCCTGTCCATAACTCATATGGCGTACTCTGGAGCACAGCTTTTGTAGGCGATCTGTTCTGTAGATTCATCCATTCTGCAACTCCATTTTGCTGGGGTGTGTGAGGCACACTCAATTGACGGACGATCCCATTTTGTTTCAGAAATATGTCAAACTCGTTGTTTACATATTCTCTGCCATTGTCACTGCGAAGTACTCTGATCCGTTTTCCCGTTTGGCATTCCACCATGTTCTTATAGTTCTTAAACACATTTAGAACTTCTGATTTATTTTTGATAAAATATACGTGAACATATCGCGATTTATCATCAATCATGGTAACAAAGTAACGTGATCCTCCGTTTCAACATATGCTTATAGGGCCGCAAACATCACTATGTATGAGGTTTAGCACATCCTCACTTTTGCTGACCGACATATTAAATGGCTTCGCGCAACACTTACTCTGTAGACATATCTTACAGTCAAATTCGCTTGTGCTGTTGAAGTTCACTCCATGCACCAATTTCATATTATTTAATTCTTTGAGGCTTTGCATGTTCAGATGTGCATATCTCTTATGCCATTTTCTAATATCCTCACTGCCACTTTTGCCATTTCCACTTAGGAACACTGCATTTATTGTTTTGGTTATTTCACACAGAAATAAATTGCTTCTATGATTTGCAATAATCAGAGTTTTACCGTTTTCGTCACATACACACGCACGATTGTTTTTAAAGCTTACAGTGCAGCCTCCTTTTAGTGCTCTGCTCACCGAAATAATGTTACATTGTAATTGTGGTACACAAAGAACGTTTGTAAGTTTTACTGTTGACGATTCCGTTTCAATCATGACGACTCCTCGTCCGACTACTTCTAGTGATTTTTCACCAGCAAGTGTGACTGTATCAGTGAATTGTTCAAACGAATTAAACATATTTTGATTTGCGCACATATGAGCTGTGGCGCCACTATCTAAGCACCACGCTGATTTATCAAGCAGTCGTTTTTTGCACTTAGCAACGTGAAGAATGATTTTTCGTCTCTTCCTTTTATATTACCTTCGTTCGCCTTGGACCTACATTCTGCAGAAATGTGGACAATTTTACCGCATTTGTAACATTTAATTTTTTTATTTCGGTTCTTGCCTACTTTGTCTGCCTTTTTTGCACTCTCTTTAGCGTAGTGTGCTTTGCTTAAAAATGCCTGTGCATTATTTTCGTTCACACTCTCTATATGTGCTTCGTTCTTGCGTCTATCACACTCTTCGATCAATTTAACCTTTAAAGTACTAAACTTTGGTAATTCATGCTACAAATTGATTCCAATGCTACAACCAAATTTTCATATGATTTGGGTAAACATGCCAAGAGTAAAATAACATATATTTTTTCTTGCAGCACAATGCCAATCTCTGTTAACTGCTCCACGGTGTTCACAAAATTTGCAATATACATTTGCATGTTCTCATTCTCGTTCATCCGCATGAAGAGTAATCTCTTGAACAATGTGATCTCTCTCACTGGACCGGTGGGCTGATGCACTTCCTTTAGGGTTACCCACGCACCCGACGCCGAATCACATTTTTTAATGAGACCAATCTCAGAACCTCTTATTGAGAGAGTGATACCGCTAAAGCCTTTTCGTTTTTTGATATCCACTGACTATATTCACTCGTCTTGTCTGAACTTGGGCATTTCATAGCTCCCCAAGTGACGGACCATAGCTCCTGGTGAATTAGCACACTTTTCATTTGGACACACCACGAATCATAATTTGTTTCGTCCAACTTGTCTATATTGTACAGAGCTCTCATTTTTCGCTCGTACTTGTTCTCACACAGAAAACTTTAGTTGGTAATGCACACAGCAATACAAAATTATGCAATTCTAATGAAAAAATGTCACTCGACCTTAAACGCGGCTTTTTAGCATAACTTTAGCTTCATTCAACTTTTTCTTTATGCCTGGGCCCATAACTTGTTGGGTTTTAAAGCGGCAAAGTGATGCACTAGGTTTGGCGGTTAGACTAAGAAGAACTTTTATTCAATGTATTCTGTTGGGGTATCGAGCACAGTATCGATATTTTCTGTTATTAACATTAGTAATCGGAATGTTGATATATTTTACATATTTTCAACAGAATCACAAGGACGAATTCTATCGAGCTGCATTCAACGAAAACTTTGGCTTCAACGCTTAATAAATAGTCGATATTTGAAAATCAATGTTTTCTCGGAAATTGCAAGCACGGTGTCCTTCGGCCAGCTGATAGAGTTCTGGTCAAAACAAATAGTGTGACATATCACTCGATAAGACCTAAAAGGAGTTAGCGGAGATTTGAACATTTGTTATCTTTAAAAAAATTTCCCTTTATTTCAGATGTCTGAAGGATCTTCGTCCTTTTTCTTGCTTAATTCTAACCTCAATTATGGAGTCATCTAAGAACTCAAACACTTGGATAAGTTTCACTTGCTGGGCCCTGGGACCCGAGTCGAAATCTGAAAAACGTTGTCCTTGAGCCAGTTGATAGCCTTGGTCAATGCAACCACTTCTCATTAAATCGACTAGCAGAACTTTTCATAATATGTATTTTATTTCGTCATTAAATATTCATTTTCATTGGTTTTTCGGTTTTCGAAAATTATATATATATATAATATATATAATATATCTGATACATATAATTGTATGGTAATATTGAACGTAATATCTTTCTTACTTAAACAATTATGTACATATATCTCTGTCAAATATAGATGCTTGTATCACATACCTTTTTGGACTCGTAGGTATGGGCAGTGTTTTGAAGTATTTTGTTACGTTTATAATTCGAATGTCGCTCGTTTTTCTATTTGTAATACCAGACGAGCAGAATCAGCACCAATTACTCTTGTTTTCAAAAGGTAAATTTGATTTCTTGTTGATTTCTGATTCTGTTCCATTGCCCTAGATCATACGATTCCAAAAAGGCTTATGTTTCAAAGATCTGATTTAATTTAACCGAGATATACCCATTAAAAGTTATTTCCAAAACTTTAAACTTGTACATATGAATGTATATGATTTTCTTATGTTGTGTATGTACCATTAAAATTGTTTTATATCTGACTAATTGGTAAAATATATGTATGTCTGTATATATTAAACAATTTCATATAGTATTAACAAAAGTTGACAAGCTGACCAATTTTTGTAATGTACAATATAGAGTTGTAGTTGATTTATATAGAAGTATGCTAAATATGCTTGCAACGCTGTGGTGGTTACCATTATCTATTAGACATCTATTGTTGCTATTCGTAATATTTAACGCTATAATTTGTATTTATTTAATATTTTTTCCAAATAAGCCCCAATCATATTCTGGGTTCTGGCATACGCCAACTTGTCAATTTACTAGGTCCTAACTCCAATTCATCCAATTCTTGTATTAGTGGGCAACGCTCTAAATTTGCTCGTTATAACAGATACTTATGCATGTTTGTGTTGGTGTGGATTAAATCTATAATGCGTACATACGTATTAATATTGTTGTTTAACATGTGTTCTGGCTAAATAATTATTATTTAGTTTTCTTATTTGCTTTTACGCATTTGCTTGCTAACGTCTTTTATAAATACAATCGGCCGATCGATTGAACAGCATATCAAATATGTATATACATTATTATAATTCTTAGGCCATAATACATTATTGTAGTGGTGTAGCGTTATAGGTATAAATGGTTGCTATATATAGACGTATCATATAAATATTCTACAATACATATCTACAGTTATCTTATTACTCATTTGTCTGTCTGTAAATTTTCTGGGTTATTATCTATGCTGTCTTTTTCATACACTTTAGGTACCATATTTTTCTAGATTTAGGATCCTAATTACGCATACATATGTCTGGAGGGGTTCTGGTATATACAGGATTATGTAATCATAAAACAAATTATAGAGGGATATCTTAAAAGTAAACAAGAGCCGGAATGACATATGTTAATATTAATAATCTCCAAAGCGGGAACGATCAAAATATACTCATAAGTACCTATGTAGATCTTTATATTCTGGACAATTTTGTTTTACCAAGCACATGTGGGGAATGTTAAGTTGTTCAAATAAAAACATGTCAGATAGCTTAACTAAATTTAGAAACTAATTTAAAACTAGCTGCCTTATAAGATATGCACTACGCAAGACTTTTGACTAATTGCACGGTTTACATTTGTTTTTGCGTTAGATAAGTTATCGAACCTAGGCGGACTTTTAAGTATTCGCAAGTATAAAAAACACATTAAACATATTTGATTGTTGATTGTTGTACACACAACTACATACATACACATGTCTCTAGAATGTAATGATAATTGGATTCGTTCTCCCACCATCTTCTTACTTGTCGATTAAGTTCAAATGGCAACTACTTGACTTCATTTTAGCTTATGTCGTCTCGAGATTCGTTTAGGCGGTAAGTTTAATATCTACCAAGTCCTTAGTTCAAATATGTATAGGTTACCAAGCGGGTCGACGACGCACCACAACAAGTTGATTGACTACTTTGATTAGTTCGAGCAAAAACTGTATGCATATATACAAATACATATATATATATATATGTATATATATGGATGTATGCACATAAGTATAAATTACTGATCATTAAACGTGTAACAGTCTTTTTGAGTTCACATTATTCAAAATTAAAACAAAGACCGAGTTAAACCAAAAGGCAAAAACCAAAACACTAATCAAAATAGAATCGAAAATGATTACAACTTGAATACAAAATTATTTTAAAAGTATGTAAGTTTGGGGGCAGTATCTGGCTATAATACTTTAAAGTTAAGGTATCCGTGTATATCGTAAATGCGTATTATGCGTACAGTTGCAAACGTACATGCAACATATAACATTAACTTAAAGTTAACAACGTTTTTGCTCTGTAGCCTGGACTCCAGACTCTCCAAATCCTCCAACTGCTCCTGCTCCGTCTACTCAGTTTGCATAGTTGTCGAATGAGCCCAAATACTCCAAAGCAGCGCGATAGCAAAAATGATACTGATCCTGTTAAGGAAAATCATATTTAATTAATAAATATAGTCGCGACTTTTATAATTTTACTCACCTCCGTTTGCACCATGGCTGGTCGCTGGGAGCGCAGTATGCGCACAGTTTGGAATACATCCAGCACACCCTCGTATTGCATCCGCTCCAGAACAATGCTTAGAGTAATAAAGACACCGGAGCGTCCAACGCCCGCCGAGCAGTGCACCGTTATGGGGCCATCCTGGCCAAACTGTTCCTTGGTCTTGTGCACCTGCCCAATGAAATCGATGAAGCCGTCACCCGACTTGGGCACTCCCTGCTCGGGCCAGTCGATGAACTGGAACTGACGCACAGTACGCGAGGAGCCATCACGTGCATCGGTCACCTGGTCGAATGTCGAAAATAATGGTTAGAGTTACTTTATGCAAAGGGAGCGGATATCGAACCAAATCTTACCTTAAACTCGCGCAGCTTGTACTGAGGCATATTGTACTCGGCAATTGGATCGACAACATAATACTGATAGCGAACAGAGCGCTCATGGGGCCAGTACTGGAAGCATTTCTCCTGCAACAGAGCAATACTTTCGAATAGAAAGGGAGCGAGTGTTGAGCTGTGAAACTTACCCTGCCCATTTCCTTGAGTTTGGTTAGCATAACAACTATGGTGGAGTTGTGCTCCCAGAGCATGCGCCAAAAGTCCTCAGCGGTGTCCTGCACTGGTCCCTGAGCAGCGATGTAAGCAGACCTATAGCGATAGCCATCGATAAAGCTGGCGTTGACATAGTCGCTGCCTTCGATGCCATGGATGGGCGTCAAATAGACGCGACTCGACTCGTAGGGCAGAATGTGAACGAGACGATTCTTGTGCTTGTTGCATGCTAGATTGGCCGTGACAAATTTGGAGGAGTCCATTTTGACATTGGATAGCTTTTTGAATTCCACCTCCATGCCCGAAATACTCTCGCCCGGCTCGGTGGTGAGGAGCTTTTGCAGATGGGTGTGCAGATTGCGAGCGGCGACCTCGGTGAGGCCACAGATGATGGCTTCTATTATGGCGTCGTGTATGAAGATGTACTGATCCTCCGTCTGCACCATGTAGTTGCGCTGGGCACGCAGGCATGTCACATGGCCATAGATATCGATGATCTTCTCGTGCTTCATGCGTTCCAGCATCGAGTCGATCACAATATAGCAGCCAGTGCGACCCACTCCAGCCGAACAGTGCACCACAACCGGTCCCGACTCGGGTGGCGTCAAGGCGCGACAACGGCGCAGGAACTGCAGGAATGGTGCAGGATGATCGGGCACACCGTGATCGGGCCAGGCCGTAAACTGCAGCTGCTTAACCTCTCTGCGATCGTTAAAGCCCTGCCGGACCAGCTGGAAAGTGCGTATGCTATAGGTGGCCAGCTCTTGCGTTTCGGTGATGGTCACAAAGATCTGACCGTATGTCTCAGTGCCCCTTGTGGGCCAATACTGATCGCACTTAATGCGCGTTCGTTCCTCCAACCGGGTCATCATCACAATTGTCGCCGTTTTGAGTTCCCAGCACATGCGCCAAAAGTCCGCAAAGGTCTCCTGCAACGGTCCCTGGGTGGCGACATAGGCATTATGCTTCCGATAGCCATCACAGTAGTTGGCATTAATATAATCCGAGCCGAGGACGCCCTCCTGCGGAGGCAGCTGTACGCGTGAGTGGTCGTAGGCGGTGACATTCGCATAGCGATTCTTCGACTTGTTGTGCTCGCAGTTGGAGTTGTCCCAGGTGAACTGCTGACCCGGCTCGATGCTCTCGTACTCCTGCGAGAACTTCTGATTGTCATTCGACTTCAAGCGCTCGATGTGATTGGAAAACTCCGATATGGGAATGGGCGGATGCGAGATCATGCCGGGCGTTTGGAAGTTCAGTCTTCGCATATCCACCGGATCACTGGGTGTCGGTCCGGCGCCCAGATCGGCGGCCATCAAGGGACGCGTTACGGCCGCTTGATCGGGTGTTTTGCAGGGTTGCCGACGACGGCGCACCACATAGAGAACAATCAGTGTCGTTGAGACGACAAAGGCGGCGATTAGTGGCAGCACCACCCACAGGATTTCGGGCTCATCCTTGTTGCGATTGACCGAAACCTCCGGCTCCGAGGGCCAGTTGGGATCAGGGCGATGCGGACGTTCGCCTGGCGGTGCCTCGCGCATGTCCAGCGACAGGAACTCGGAGAAGGGGCTCGAGGTATACAGATGCTTCTGCGGCGTATCTACCACGGCACGCACAAAGATCCTATAGCGTTTCTCGCGTTCCAGCTTGCGATTGGTAAAGTTGTGGTAGTCATCGCCCGAACCCAGGTGGAAGGTGAAGGGTATGGAGCGTTGCGGAAACTTAGCTGCTATATACGGTGCATTCGGACGCTCCGGTTTGTTGCGACCAGGCAGCAGGTCATCGGTGAGAAACTGGTCGGGATTCTTGTGCAGATTGGATTTATCCTCTGGGACGACAACGAGATAATAGTGCGAGATCGGACCATACTCCTCGGATGCCTGAGGCAATATGACTAGAATCTCCTCCCCGTTCACCACGCCATAGAAATCGGGCTTTACCATGGGCTGTGGTGCGGCCATTTGTGTGGTCACAGTAATCTTTGTCGGGGGTCTGTAAGAGTAATCGGAGGGAATCGCGCTCACATTTACATTGTATGTGGTAAAGGGACTCAGCTCGTTGATTGTGTGCGTCTTCACAAAGTGTTTGAGGATGATCTCGCGCTTCGTTACCCCTTGCGTTTGGGAGAAACCCTGCGAATCCACAAACACCTTCATCGCATCGAAGCTGATCTTGTAGTTTACGGGATTGAGGCGTATGGGCGGCGACCAGGACAGTGTCATGGAGTGTGTGCTGACGTCGTGGGCACGCAGATTGAGTGGTACATCTTCGGGCTTTATGCGCACCGTTAACTTCTCGCTGAGGCGACCCAGTCCGTTCTTGAACCTCGCTGCAATCGCGACGGCATATTGAGCGAACTTCTCTAGGTTCACCAGATCCGCTGACTCAGTTAGACCCACCGTCTTTGTCTGCCAGTCATCGAGATCCTCCACAGCGGTCATGGTGTAAAAGATCTTATAGCCGAGCAGTTTGCCACGACTGGGCACTGGCTCCCACCAGATTTCAGCCGTCTGCTCGGAGGTAGCCACCGCTTGCACCGACATCGGGGCACGTCCCATATCGCGTTCCGTTGACACAATCATCTTTTCACTAAAAGGACCAGCGCCCTGTTTCGTGTAGGCGCGCACACGAAAGATGTAGTCGGTGTTCTCCTCGAGGTTGGTAAAGACCGCCTTGCGGAGCGTCATGTTGCGCTCGGAGCCCAGGCCGTGATCGATCTTCTTGTGGAACTGCACATCATAGCGCGTGATCTGGCCATTGCGCTTATCTCGCGGCGGCGGATCCCAGGTGACGCAGACAACGTCGGGTGTCTGGAAGCGCTTGGTTATGTTCGAGGGCGCTTCGGCAGGCGATCCCTCGGGCGTCTGGAAGATCTTGACCGTCTCCTGACCAATGCCAATGTGATTGCTGCCCGCCACACGAAACTCGTATTCCACACCACGTTCGAGATCGTTAAACCGCTTCTTGGTCATTTGGGGTCCCGAGAGCATTTCCTCTTGGAGCACCTGATCCTTGACGCCCCATCGCAATCGATAGCCACGCAGCTCGCCGTACGTCTGCGCCGGACGCTCCCACTCCAGCTCAATGGAGACAATGGGCTCCCGCTCCATGATCTTCAGACTTACCGTCGGACGCACGGGCACACCTCCGGGCGTTTTCACAATCACCGCCACACTGCGATCCCCATCTCCCTTGCGCGTCAATGCGGCCACTTGAATCGAGTACTTGGTGTCGGGCTGCAGTCCGGTAACGCTGTATTCCAACGTTTCGACGACATCGAACTTGAAGGGTTCGTTAAGAAAACCCTTGCCCTGTTTAATATATGATAGACAGGATGTTAAAAATGAATCATACTTAGTTATAGCTTAAGTGAAAAGGCTTTGCTGTCAAAAAGAGATGTTGATATTTTCTTGCATAGATCTGCTTATTTATTTTCGCTTATATTTTCATTTCTTAATCGAATACCTAATTTATATTTCTCTCGTTGCGTTCAACTATTACTGTTTCTTCTCAGTTAAATGAGCTTGCAAACTCACCTCATCTCGCATTTCCTGGACGTGTATATGATAGCCTCTTATGATGCCGTTGCGATCCTTTTCCAGTGGCGGTTTCCAGCTCACGTGTATCGATGTGGAGTTCAGAGGTGTGGCCTTCACATCCTGCGGATCTCCGGGCACTAGAGACGACGACGAAGAAACAATAGATTAGCTTAGGGTCAAATTAAGAATTGATATTTGAAAGGGACTGTTTGAATACTTAAAGAGTGCTTATGAATTAACTTAGACTAATATATGATAATTGTTTGGGGCTGAGCCCTTACACTAAGTTGCTTAGCTTAGATACATAGATGGAACTAGAGATAGTAAACACTAAGTTCTAAAGTTGCCTTAGACCCTAGGAGCAATATACAAAACCAGAACGAACTTAGCTCCAAGTCAACCAAGTCACCACATCACAGTTAGAAAAACATAATATTTATAGTTGTAAAATTGAAAGAGAGTGCTGCTTAAGTGCTATATGTATAGAAATACAGTTAGGTAGGTAGGTTAATTAAAAAATAAATGCTTGCTCAGTATTAGGTGCACAAAAAGTGAATAAGAAGTGCAGTCGATACCTTGCTAAGTATATATATTAATACTTATATAGTTGCTCAAAAATGTACACAAAAAGTTGACAATCGAAACAAAAATTTGGACCAGTTAGTTAATGGTCTCAAATTGTTCCATTCTTTTGACTGGGCAAAAAACAAACATGTAAGCATTCAAAAAAGTTTTTAATGTTCGTGTGCAAAAGTAAAAAGTATATAGTGGAAATCAAAATATATATATATTTGTACGTATATATAAGTTCGTTAGATATTAACTGTTGGAAAAAAGTCAACAGCCTTTTACATGAAATCCTCGCTGACTTTGTGGGTTTCAAAAATGTTTTTATTTTTTTTTTGTAAAATAGAAAAAACATGTCAAAAAACAAAAAAAGATTTGATTCTTTAGTGATAGGTCAACAATATTCTGGACCAATACAAAATAGTATGATATAAGATATATGTATATATATATATAAATATATGTATATGTATATATATACATATATATATAATTATATATATATATATAAATTTGTATAGTTAAATATAGGTTGCTATTGCATTGCATTCTTAAACATTATAGACAAACCATTTAAAATACTCACTCTTTTTCTCTAAATAGATTTAAAAATGTTTTTTATTGTATTTTTATTATATAAACCACCATCCATTAAATGTTGCGTTCAAAAATCAAATTTCGCAATAATTTTGTATTCACATCAAAAAAGTTTTCAAAATTTTTGTGTTACAGTTTTCCATTTCGAGTTTGCATTCAAAAAAAGGTGCACGAAACAGAGCAAGTAGTGCAAGGTGCGAGTGGCCAAGCAAAGATATATTTGGTATTTTGTTATAGTATATGAAAAAAGATATAAGATATAGCTCTTTAGTTTACAGTATACAGTTTCAAAAAGTATTCAGTGCATATTACGGGAATGTCATTGAAGAGGAAATCATAAATGAGAGATGGAAATGAAATAATAGGTGGAAATTGGGTGAAATCAAACCAAATAAATATAAGATACAAAATGTACATATTTGTTGGCACACCCGCTTTGATACTCTACAAAAGTGTTGCATTTGTAGCTATTCATTAATTTCTTTAATTGCTGTATTTGTTCTGATGTGGTATTTTGTAATGCTTCAAACTTACAACGACCTTAAGACTTATTAAATAACTTACGCTTATTGTATATATTAAACGGATTGGAAAGTTTGGTTAAATTTCATATTTTTAAATTCAATACAATACTTTAAATTCCAACAATATTTACAACATTTTAATGACTTGAGGAGTTGTTCGGTAAGTTGACTTCATTAGTTGAATCTCTGCGTAGTACGACTTATTCAAATGCAAGTCGCAAGCGGCACCAGTGTTAAATTATGCTTCATTAGTGTTCTCCGAAACACTGTACAATAGGTAAAACATGAGTAGGGGTCTGCAGCTGGGCAGATGGGCATTAGGGGTGCATATGTCAACCGTTGCACTTCGCTGCAGCTTTTTCTGTGTCTTTTTGTCATTTTACATGTATTCACACCCACACGCTCGAGTACACACACACGCACACCTAATCTGACAACACGCGCACTCTAAAAGTATGTAAAATAATTAAAATGCTACCGTTATAAGGTGCATGCATAGATACTTTTTGTGTGCTGCTGAATAGAAAGAAGGAAGCTACGTGCACGTCCTAAGCAGAGCTTACAATTTTTGAGGTGCTGCTGTTTTTTTTTTTTTTGTCTGTATTCCCTGTAAACACATAAAACCAGAAAATAAGATTGATCTCGAGTTTGAGCAGATTCGACAAAAACGTTCGATAAAACTCCGAAAAAAAATAATATTACTCTTGCAGCTGCATATAATTTTTAAACTTCGAATATCAAACTGGCAGGAATATTAAAAAATACAGGGTGATTGCTAGTCGTGTAATTTAGCTTGCAGCATTTTTTTCAAATACTTTATTTCTACTGTACTTTTTTGGTTACTTTTCCAGCTATGCACGGAATGTCAGCGAGTGGCAGAGGATAAAAAAAGGCAAGTGCCCAGCTTTAGGCTAGGTGCTATTTGCATCTCGCATTGAAAGCGATGCTCAGCGAAGCTAACAAGCGCATCATCATAACGAAATATACGAGTCTATACGAAATAAAAATTAAGAATATACAAAATATATGCACAAAATATATGCATATTTGCTCACATACGTACATGGTAGAAAAATACTGGTGAATATTTACATCATGACCCTTTTACAGAGAACTGCTGCAGCCTCAGGGGTATCAATGGAAGAGAATTAGACAGACAGACAGACATACGTACACAAACACACACATACACACACACACACACACACACACAGGCTTTTGATTGTGCTGAATTGAGTACAATTAAAATATAGTGGACGACACAGACGAGAATAGAGCTGTGCTGCATAAAGTGCGGACTAGACACATTCATGTGCTTGGGGTGCATTGTTCATAATATATTCATATATTTACCTCTTCCAAAAGAAATAAAAAAACCAAAACAAAAAAATTTAGCTATACTTATAAGTAAATTTTCACCTGACGCATTATTATTACAGACATTCTCTATCGGCAAATGTGCAAGGTGCTTGTAGGTTTTGCTGTATTTTATTATTTTTACTTTGCTTTTCAGGTGCTTTATGGTGCTTACTTAGATGCTTAAATAATCAAAGTGGCTTTTGCAGTGTGCTTACGTCGTAACTTAGTTGCGATTGCCTGACTAGAGACTTACTACAATAGGTGCTTAACATTAAGTAAGTACATTTCATTAACTGTGCTTAGCTAAACAAATTAAATTAAGTGAGTGCCAACAGTTTTTGATCTTTGTGTCGACAAACTCCAAACACAATCAAAATTAAATGATATTTTATAAAGCATGAAAAGTATTTGAGCAAGCAACTTTACAGCTAACAAGCAGTTGGTGGAAATACGTAAAGCGGATGAAAAAGTAAATAGTTTATAAATAAAGCAATGAATCTGTTCAGAAGGGGACTTAAAAAACTTCAAGATGTTAGGAGCTTGGAAAAAAAGCAGCGGTTCGACAATGGAATTGCAGTAATAATGAGAAAAGGAACTATAATTTGACTTCTCTTACAAAATTGAATAATGTTGGAAATGATGTATATGTTATTTAGAAATATCTTTTATATAGTAACACCAATACTTCATTTCGGAAAAGTTTGTATAATATAATCTTAGAAGTGTTAACTTTAATGTACTATGTCGATTAATGAAATATCTCAAGAAATAGATAAACTATTTGTTTTTTATTTCGACATGTTCACTGTGAACCGCGTACTTAAAAAAATGAACAAAACTATTTGTGCACAGAATGGGAATATAAACAATTTTAAAACTTGAGTACATTGTTGCCTCACAAATGTAAGCAGCATCTACTCGGAGGGAAAGGGATCAGGCAAAAAAAAAAATTATATATATAAAAGACACGCATTTGTGAAGGAAGATGGAAGACAGGGCGATAGGAGTAGTAAACCAGATGCAAATGTGTTAACTGGGAAACATGCAGGTGATAGCAAATAAAACTTAATCAAATGTGTCAACAGAATACAAATTAAATACAACAATCAAATAATTTTTATGTGAAAATCAATTTAAGGATTTTCTGCTTGTTGTTGATGTTAATGTCGCACATTTGCATAGCGATAAAGAAAAAACAACAAATGTGTTGAGGGAGCGCCAAAGTGCAAAATATGTGTGGACATAAAAAAACACTGCAAATAGCAAAAAACAAAAACAAATTCTGGAGTGAGGCCCAAAAATATCACACCGACCTGCTGCTAAAGTTATTAAATATGTATGCATACATGTAAATATATGTGGATAAATATGTATGTGACATAAATGTATTTACTACATGTATGTATGTCAGAGGTTGAGGCAATGGTGGGGGATGGGTAAGAACTATAAACAACGAAAAAACAAATAAATGCAGCAAAACGTTTTGCGTTATTTGCCCTAGGTACACAGCAACCAAAAAAGAGCTTATGTTGCGGTGGAAAAGTTTGATGTGAGAGTGAAGGGGTTGGGGGGGGGGGGGGGTCCATTATGTAGGTATGTATGTATTTGAATTCAACTATGCCGTATTTAGGCTTTTTTTTTTTGGAGGTTGGGGAGCGGGTTTGTTTACATTTATAATTGCATAAATTTAATTATGTAAATAAATCAATTTAATATTTTATGCGGTTTTTTTGGTGGTCCACAAAAAAGAAAACAAACAACAACCAACTAACTAAATTCACAAAAATTATTAATAGATATTTTTGTTTTGTTTTTGTTTAGATTATAATTGTGCGTGTTTAAGATATGTATGTGTAAGTATTTTATATATCTTGTGCGCTTACAAAAACACAGAGCATATGGCTTTTTTTGTTGGGTGCTATACAAATTACCACAAAAAATATGATGCATTATATCAAAAAGTTATCATATGTATTTATAATAGTTGTCCAATTTTTTTTTGTATATATTCAGACGGTTGAAAGTCAAGAAAATAACAAAAATTTGTTCTTGCATATAGTACACAATATAGGAGTTGTGCTAAAAGAGTTGTTTCTGATTTTTCATAGAGATACAAGTGCAAAAAGTAGTCAAAAATTGCGCCAAAAAATATGCAATTTTATAGTACCAATAAAAATTTGTATTTTTTTTTTTAAATATATTTTTCGATTTAAATAAAAAAATACGAAAGAAATTATAAAACAAATGGGACAGAAATTTGTAAGGGTATAAGATAGAAGGAGGGAATGATATTTCGATACTTTATAAACTGTATGTAATATAAGTAGATCAAAAATAAGGAATGGTTATTAAAGACTAACTGAAGAACTTAAGGGTACGAGTGGTTCGAAATCTGAAGATTTATATGTTATTAAGGTATAAATAAAAATAAAACAGATTTATTTTGAAGTAATCATTAGGGATTTGCTGAAGAATATACGGAAAAGCGATTTTAAAGATTTAAAAGTTTTAATTCATCTTTTCGATCGAAAGTAGATGAAGAAATTTTACAAAATTTGTTTTAATAAAATATCATTTATTTGAATTGATTTTAAAGTTGATGATTTTGGAATACTCGTACCAGAAGTATTAAAAGTGAAGCCTTCTATCCGACAATAATATAAATATTCTTCAAAAAAATGAAATCTTGACATATAAATAAACTACAAATGAAGACAATATAAAACAAAACACAGCTGCTTTCAAAAATGTATGTTTGCAGCATTTTAAAACATATGTATATGTCTGATAGTTGTAGTATAATGTGCTATTTACGGCCAGTCGTATTGCTAAATGACTTTTGGTAAACACACACACACACACACATACAAAGTTTCGGTTAAATAAAAAAACAAAACGCTCCATCGCGGCGTTCCGGCAGCTCCTGTGTTGGATGCTCGTTATCAAAATTCAAAAATTGTACAAAATATTTCGTTGATTAGTTCTGAGGTGTAAGTTAGGTAGATGAAATTTAAATGAAACTTAACAATTAAAATAATATGTAAATGTATTGTTTAAAAGATTATAAAAAATAATTATTTGAATGAAAAATGATAACGATTTGAGTTAAGACTTACGCATAGGTAAGATTGTCATTGGCATACATACCATCCTCTTGGGTGCGAATTATGATCGGATGGGAGCGCGGACCGTCGCCCACCGAGGTGCCGGCGAGCACCCAGATCTTGTACTCGGTCCAGCGCTTCAGCTCGTCGAGCACAATTTTGGTCATGTTCAGCGTGAGTGTGGACGCCTCGTCGTCCTCGCGACCCACCTCGACGAACAGCACCTTATAGTAAATGATGCGCCCGTTCGAGCGCTCCGCAGGCGGAGGCAGCCAGCTAAGTGAGATTGTTGTCGAGCTGTTCGCAATGGCCGTGATATTGCGTGGCGGTGCACCTGGTACTAATTACATAATAGATGGGAACGGTACGTATTTTGTGTGGTTGTTTGATGTTGTGCATAGAATTGGATGCGTTATAGCCAACATTATGTTGAGAGATAAGTTGATGTTGGTTTTTTATTATTATAATTTTTTTTTTATTTTTTTTTAATAGCGTTCAGCGATTAGCGTTAAAACCAAACAAAATGTTTCAAACCAAAAAACATGTAACGAAAGAAAGCACAAAAATAATATTTGAATAAATGACATAATGGATAGGCATAAGTATATAAGTAGGCATGTAAGATAAGTATTTCAAATCATAAATTAAACTCAAACCCAATAATATTCAAGACATAATTATATCCAATGGCTTATGCAAATAATGTTGTCGCTTATCATATTTTGATCAACAATTGCGTTTTGTTTCGTTCGAGAAGTTCAGTTTCTCTCTTAAATTAGAATGTGCATATTTTTTGGTAACGATTTTGAGCTTAAAATTTTGTACTAACTACGAGAGCGAATGAGAGAGACACACCGATAAATTTATGTACATATAATACATATAAATATTAAATTCTGCAAGGCATGCGTTATTACATAAATTATACATATAATATATAGAGTGCTTATGTTCAACAATAATTTATATTAATTGTGAGGATCACACACATACAGACACACAGATTGAAACAACAAATGTGAACAATTAATTTGCATAAACCATGTGGCTGACGTTTTTTTAGACAAACAACATTAAGCTAACTGAGAGATGAAACATTCATTTAAACAGCAGCTAATCATTAAATCCAATATTTATGTACTTTAGGATTAATAAATATAATTTGCGGTATCTAAAGTGGATCAGAGCATTTAAGCTAAGCTCAAAACATTTATGCAAATAATAATATTATGCACTACAGGTAATTGAAACGAAATAAGTGAAATTATATATCAATTAATGTTGGCAGAACCAAATTGCAAAACCATTTCACAAAACTCACAAGGTGCAAGAAGTAAATCAATTTGGCTTACTGAATAATCCACATGTCAAACTTATATCTCATTTAGCTAAACGTTTGCTTAACTCTCCTTCTCTATTTCAGTCGCTATCTCTGTCTTACTACACGGAGAAGTTTTGCAGAACTGTTAAACAATTTGTGGCAGCCGCAAAACAATCGTTAAGCTAAGAACCACACTTTAACCACTTAAACTGAACTCGAATTCTTACGAGTATGCAAAACGTGCAAATATGAAACCATGAGTCAAATACGTATTTAATATTAATATGTATGCTTATAAATACATATAAATAAAATGTATTTACTACTTGCAGACTAGATATTACTACTGCTGGTACTTGGCATTCCACATTTGTCCTTATGTGTTTCTCTACTATAATATATACTTCAAAATCAATTACTAAATACAGACAGTTATAGAGATAGAGAGGGAGAGAGAGAGAGAGACTGGGATGCAGATAAAGTAGAAGGAGAGTAATGTCTAGAAATTTTGGTTTGTGGCTTTTTGTGCATTGTTGTGCAGTTACATTAAAATTTGGACATGCTGTTGCTGAGCGCAAAAGTTGCAGATGCTTTTACCATCATTTGCATAATTCAACACTTGAAATAAAATATATACATAAATTATTTGCCAGCATTCCTTGTCTAAATATACATTCACGTTTTAAATATAAATAATTGAAAAGAATATTATGAACTGTTTTCTGTTTTGTTGTAGTATGTCGTCTGTAGACTGTCATTTAGTGATGTTTACAGTGTTGGCTAACGTGAGAGGTTTTCTTTGGATTTGTGAAAAGTAGTTTGGTTTTGTATATATATATATTTATATATGTTGTTATGTGGATAGTATGCCTAACTAAATTGTTGTATGTATGTTAAGTATAATCTTAAGTTAGCTAACCATGTGTAGTTTGTACATATGTATTTAGGAGTAATCTAAGATCAGTGTATATGTATATAAAGTGAAGTAAACGTGTTTGATAATCAATAACTTGCAGGAAACTAGAATCAATCACATCTCATACAATATAATAATAATAATAATAATAAGAAAATATGTATAATTTCATATAGTTTAAGGCAGAAAAGTGCAATACCTTACGCTCACACACAAACTCTTACACACACAAACTCTCACACACACACGCACTCTCATCGAATTTTTACCTGTCTCCTTGTGAGTGCCATAACACACAACAAAAATAGTCACACACACACACACACACACACACAGACACACACAAACACACAGCCACTCGCACAAAACAGTAGTTATTAAGATATTTCAACTGAATAATCGACTACATTTATAGACTACATTATATGTATATAACATACATGTTGTTGTATATAATATGTAATAAATGTATATATGTAGTTATATAGTTAAAATATATATTTATCGAAATTTCAGTTTAAAGTTGATGTAGTATTTTGTTTGGACTTAAACTATAGAAAGTCGTACAACTGCTACGGCTTAATTGAGTTTTCATTGTTTGTTTGATTTTTCGGGGAACCTAACTTAAGGGTTAAAGATACTAATCACTTACCATATTGCTTGGTACGAACGGGTATGGGGGGTGTAGTGGCGCCTTCGCCGCGCTGCGAACGTGCTGCTAGCCAGATATAGTACAGGGTATCAGGATACAAACCATCAAGCGTATAGGACTCTGAGTTCGAGATGCGCCTACAAAATGTTATCAAGATTAGATTTCACACTTTCTTAAACAGGGGAACTTAATTTGTAGCTGTTAATTGTTAATTGTTTACTGGGGGAGGACTTTAACTCACTTGTGATGATCCTGATTGGCGTATGTGTCATTCCAGTAGAGCTCATAATGTACAATATTCTCGCTGGAATGCGTCGGCTTGGACCACTGCAATGTGACTGCGGTCTCGCCGATATCAGTGGCCCGGAAATTGCTCGGTTGTGATGGCACACCTGTACAAACATTCATATAGACATTGACATATATACATAAATATATGTATATATAATTATATAAATATATATATATATATACATATATATATATATCGATGTATCCAGGTATCCACGTGCGCACATATTTGGGTTTCGGTTTTGGTTGGTTTGGTAATAATGAAACGGAAATTACGGAAATTAAATAAAGTACAAACAAATCAATGTGGCATTCATTTATATGCGCCCATTCAGATGCACATTACGATTCAGATACACACACACACAAACACCCCACAGAATTATGCAAAAATTTGTGCCTGTATCATCTGATAAACGTAGTTCCAGCTGCCAATGTATATGATCGAAATGATTGCTACCCCAAATATTTAAATGCTCTCGCAATAGCGAAGAATTGTGCACATTTTGACCACACATTCCATTGGCTCAGCAAAACAATTTTTTGTATGAACAGTTTTTAAATGAGTTTTTATAGCCATACCAACGCCTAGGGAAATTTTTAAATGCATACTTTGTTTCTTTCATCATAATAGTAGTAGTATTGCTCTCTTGTTTACAATATATTTCCATTATGGAGATTAACTGTCAAATAACTTTTGTGTCAAATATCCCTGGCAGATGCCAAAATTATACACAGTTTTAGTTGAACAACATTTTCGAGTTGCTTCGATTGTTCTTTTCACTTTAAAGTCAACAATTTGTTTTTAATACTTGTTATCTTGTATTTTGTAATAAAATCGAATCAATTTTATAAGTTGCATTTAACTTTTCTAATACTTGTGCATGAAAAATAAATGAATGCAATTTCAATAGAGTTTCATTTGCAAGAAATGTGGCTCAGAGAAAACTAATCGCATTAGCCCACATCAACATAAAAAGCAACAAATTTAAAGTCACACCATAAACCGCTGGCCACCACAGCCCACCTTCTTTCGATCCAGTGCCCCCAAGTCCTTGGAAGCCACAAAACTACACATCAACGAGTGGCATGTGCAATTGCTTCAGTAGTTAAAGTTGATGAAAATCGACACACTTAGATAGATATGCCGTAAACGTTATAATGGTGATTTATTTCAGACAAACAAGAAGACTAGTTACTGAAAGCTCAAGTTTGTAATAAAGAGTCTGAGTTGCCGATAATTAACACTGACTAAAGATTAACTGAGACTGTAATATACTCCAAAATGACTTAATGCAGCTATATTACCAATTATATGCCATACGAGTATGATCTAAATTTCTAGTTATAATTTAATAATTGGCGTTATCTAAGTGGGTCAATTGAGCCGTCCAATTAAATTGGTGGCATTTTATATTTTACATTACAGATTGCGTGTGCGAATGCGTGTGTGCAAGTGAACTACATAATTGGATCCGATTACGCAATTATTTTTGGGGTGAACCAACACACTTACCTTGCTGTGTCTTCACCTGCACCGGAGTGGACATGGGACCGGCTCCCATTGAGGTGTACGCCTGCACTCGCACCGTGTAAATGGCATGAGGTGTCAGCTCCGATACGGTTGTCAGTTCGCTATTATCAATCATTTGGGAGTTCCAGGAGGCCTCTGGCTGATTCGAATTGGTTGTGTAGTACACCTTGTAGCCCTAATAAATGAGAGATGTGTTCGATTAGTATAAATATCTTTACTTATTTATGTGGTGTCCTCATTATAAAACGCTTACGAATGCCATACAACAAGGAATGACAAAAAACCATAAGCCTCCAAAAATATAATACATTACAATTTTTATTGCCACCTTATGACGCATAAACCTTAATTAAAAGTAGCATCTTCAGATGCATATCCTCACTGTAAGCAATTGGGAAATGCTAATAGCAGAGTTTGTGGTTTCAGATTTGCGAACTTTATAATCCTAGCATTGTGGCAAGGACTGTTTGCAGCTGCTGCTCGACAGCGGAGACCACAACAATTGCGGCCTAGCACTTAGACTCGATCAACTTGCAGCACAGTCAGACAGTAAGCCGGAAGGAGCAAAGATCTGACTTGGGGTTTGGGGGATAACTTATAGCAACTGGCTAACTGTGTGGCTTTGATTTCATTCGCAAATTTGCATTTAAGAGCCTTGCTCTCTGTGTCCTCCCAAACATGGCCAACGTCATTTGGCAATTTCCCTGGCCTCCTCTCGTAACGTGATAAGTGGTCGACCTTTGTCCTGCTGTTCAAGCTGCAGACTGCAGTTGGAGTCTGTGTCCCCCTGTTATGCTTGTTGCTTAATATGCGTACTCTATGCCAGGTACTTACGGTCACTTGTCCATTGGGCGTCTCTGGTGGCTCCCAAGTAATAACCATCGTTGAAGAGCTCAACGGACGCACTTGCACATTACGTGGCGCACTTTCCATTTCTGAAAAACATATAAAAAGTAGTGAGGAAGGAGAGATAAAGATAGATTATTTTCAATGCTAACACATCGAAAGAAAAGGCAGCAGAGAAATTATTAACGTAAGCATTGGCCATTTTTGATTTGACTTTTCTTAAATGTTGTCAAATAATTGAACAGTTTATCGAACCACAAAAAATAATTTTATGCGCTTATACTGGGGTTTTTATAGGCATTTTTTAACTGTTCAATTATATAGAATTTGGCCTAAGTGTATGAGATAGATGAATAAGAACGACGGGGTGCAGAAAAAGGACAAATGTAGACACATTGATTTTGTCCAATGTTATTGTTTATTTGCTTATGGAAAACTTGCGATGTTTTGTCCTTATTTTTATTATATTCATCATACTTTTAATTTCATTTCATTTGAACTGTTGAAAAATACATTTAAAATGCAAGAAAACTTTGTCTATGTCTTCAGTTTGCTCATAAGACTATTATGCTTTAAACTTTAAAGACTATAATCGGCTTATTAATTTGAGTGCTGTTTCGCTTTATTATTTAATGCTTAGTTAATAACGAAGAATAGACAAGTCGAAAGCTGATATGCATACGTATACGAGGTGTTCATAGTCTGAAAGATTACACTGCGTAAGAACTAACAAGCCTCTGGTTATTTAATCACTTCTGTATATACAAGGCATTGGAAATACTAATTGAAATGTGCTTCCTTCACAACAACTTGATTACTAAATAAATTGAAATTTGTGAATAAATAATATAATTAGTGCTGCATCAAAATTGGGGCTTCAACAACTAATATTTGTTGTAGGTAGTCGTCCATTAGATAGTCGATACCCAATTAAAATAATTGCACGTCGAGTTATTTAGTCTTTTCTTGTTGTTGTTGTACAATAGACTCACAATAGTTTTCGATCATCAAAATCAGATTCACTTTAAATATGACATGGAAAATGGCTAAAGACCACCCACCACCAACCATCCACCACCCATAAAACCAAAAACCTTACCTCTCTCTGCCCTTTACAGGCTGGCCGCGTTGTCAGTCATGCATATGCAATTCTGTTAAATGAATTTTCGGCATTTGGGCAATAGTCAGGGTTTTAAATCAAATGCAGGCCCAGACAGCGAATAGACCAGGATATGACAAAAGAGGGTTGGTCAGACGAACAAACAGCTGGAAAGGGGAAAAGGGGCTAATACCAGCGGTATTAGGGGGCCCCAAAAAATGTTTTGCCATGCAAACAATCATCCATCACAATGAAATTTTGCTAAATGAATGTCCGTCCGGCAGAGCTCTCGTCATTGTGAACATTTTTGCACGGCTGCCGTCACACGTCGAGTCGAGTCCGGCGCATTATAGTGCGAATTTTGCATTTATAATGTGTAACGCAATGCTGCAAGACACGCACAACACAACACAATAACATTTGGACACAACAACTGATTTTTGTTGTGCGCAAAACAATGCAAACATGTTGCCAGAAGCCCCACTGACCGGACCTATATTATAGCAGTGGCATATGCTATGGGCATTTAATTCCCACATCCTACGAATATAACCATATATGGTGGCATACTGCGGATGAGATCAAAGAATTCACTTATGGCAGTGTAAAGCATCCAAATGCCAAATTAGTTGCCGCATTGTTGACAAAAAGGCAGCAAAAATTCCAACAGCTTCATGTTGAATGACTTTTTGCTTAATCTGTGATTTGTTTAGTACTGTTTATTTATCTAAGAATTCAAGTTACTTTGATTCTATTTATCATTTACTATCTAATAAGAACTGGATTAATGTAATTCTTCACTGATTTTCAAGCAGTAGCTGGAAATGTTATATACCAGTCACAGAAGCGTATGCATTCTCAAAATGCATTTGCACATGTTTCAAATACATTTGGAAGGCGTGAAATTGTTGGAGAGGTGAAGTGATGGGGAGGCAAGGGACAGCAGAAGCGAACACGAGCAGAATGAAACTGCTAATTAGAGGGGAACAGAATTGGATCGCCTCAATTACTGACAAGCGTCGGTTGCGAGTCAGTTTTAGTTGCACTGGCTGCTTTATGTGGCATCCCTACGGAGAGGAATGAAAAGGACGTAAGCACAGAGGGGGTAAGAGGTTTCATCATTTCCTCTTCTTGTGCTCCTCAATTGGTTAATGGCCAATCAATAAATTCCAATTCTCACAATTTTACTGCAATATCTACATGTGCCACTGCAGCGTTTTACCCACAATTTATATCTCAGGCATCTCATCTGTTACACAAGTGTGCATTGTGTGTGCATGTGTGTGCATGTGTGTGTGTAAGTGGCACGGATATAGCCCGGTTGGCATTGCCATTTGTCGGGTCTAGGCTAAGATTTGCATGCAGCACATGGGGCATTCAAAAATTGCAATAGCTTGCCTGGGCAGACACATTCTAAACCGCTTGCTTCCCTGCCTGATGCCTGGATGCCTTGTTGCCTGGTTATCCTGCTGCCTGCTCCTTTCGTTGTGAGTGCATCGTGTGGCAGCATCACGTAAGCTGCATTTAAGAGCATATACATTACATACGGATACGCTCCATTAATATGTATCCCTTGCAACGCCAGCCTCACGCCTACTGCTTACTGCCTGCACATAGCACTAAATTCTTAGCAGCTTCTTTAACACACCCGCACACCCGCACACCCACATGAAACACATCGGAACCATGTGCCCTATGACCTATTACATGACGAAAGGAGCTGTTAAAGAGTTGCCAACACACAGTCTTGTCTACAAGTCAGTGTGTGTGTGTGAAGAAGCATTAAATTTAAATGTATTAGACCATATTAGATGTATGTATACATTATAGCCAAATTGCAAGACGAGTTAGCAATTGCTTCAACACCTAGGACTCCCAAGTAATCCTAGCGGACAAGCTGCATATCCTTATAATTGTTATGAATCCAGAGGGTTGTGTCAAGTCAAGTCTCTGATTGGATAAAGTCTAACAAAAAGCATAAATAAATGATTCCAATCTTGGAAATTACCAAAACATTTGATTATAGGCTAACTATGCATATGTGAGAACTGCATTTGAGTAATTTCAAATGAGAATAGTTTAACAAAATGACTATTAAGCATTATTAAAAAGTCCTCTTGTCCATATATAAAACGTTGATTAAATTAAGATTCTTAAAATTGCTATATTTGCACAGACATTTCAGCGTGTTCTTGATATACAATGGTCACAGAATGTAGATCTTGCCAGCAGGTGCTGGAGTGCCACCTTAAGCCGTCTAGTATTTACAACACTCGATTGTTGCCCTTCTACTTACTGGCCATAAACAGAACTTTGTCAGGTGCTACCTAACCGAACTGCACGCAACTGATGCAGCTGATACGTGTCATTATCCAATGCGTTGGACCTGCTGCTGCAACTCGCGAATACCCGAATTTCGATAGTTTTATGTGTGCATTTTCTGCTGCTAGCTGCAAAACGATGCTATCGAAATAATATTTCGTAACGATATTGGACAAGCGATAAGCATAATTGCAGCAATAAAAGTTTTCAACTTTTATACGACAAGCAATACAAAAAACTCCAAATAATAAGAAAAAAACCAGACAGGCCAAAACGCATACAGAGAGAGAGAGAGAGAGAGAGAGGCAGATAGAGAGAGACATAGACAGAGCGAGAGAGAGAGAGAAATGGCAGTTTGTGAGAAGCATTTGCTTACCCGCAATTGCCATGGCTATAACCTCGTTGCATATACACAGGCGCCACGCGTCAGACCAACTTATACATACACACACCCGCCCACACACGGATACACACACACACACACACACAGATACAATGCAGGGCACTTGTAAGCTTACAACGACATTGATGCGCACTCATATGAACGCATAACAATGCAAAGTTTATGCGTTGCCAGCCACGTTCAATGGGGAAGTGGGAGTTTAAGGGGTACTCGGATAGACGTGAGGCAGCTGCCACTTAACACACACACACACACACATATATATATATATATCAGCAGGCTACAAATATGTGTGTATTTTTAAACATTGCATTTACCTTTGATTCTAAGCGAATCTTTAGAGAATGAAAGTGGAAGGGTTTAGCCTAATGTTATGTGAATGCTGCTCAAGAATTGTTATGGAAATTGTTTTGGCCATAACATTACGTAGTAGAAGACAAGGCTAAGCATACTTACTTGTGCCACCAAATGAGAAATCGCCTAAGATCCAAAGGTAAGCGTGGGAAGAGAGAGAGAGAGAGAGATAGATAGAGGGGAAGAAATGGAATAACGAGAAACGGGTGAGTACCGCAGTCAACATAAAAAATAAAAGCGTATACGAAAAGAAATCAAGAAAAATACAAAAACCGAAAATCGAGTTGCGTAAAATTCTTGAAAAATCCTTTTTTTTTTTTTTGTGGCCAGCATGGATATAAAGAAAATGTATATTTAAAGAGCAGTTAGTGGGCTTGTCTTTAAATGGTATAACGTTCAGATGGGCTACTTACTTGTCTCACCGGTGGTGCAGGTCGCCGGCGCCGAGGGCGGACCACGTCCTATATTATTCACAGCTATCACATAGAACTCGTATTCCGTATAGGGGCTGAGGGCGCGCACCACATAGTACATGGTTATAATGCCGCTTATCTCGCTGAAGGCCTGATTCGCATTCTTCGGCTTGTACTGGATGACGTAGTACTGCAGATCCTCGGGTCCCTTGTAGGACCACTCCAGGCGCACTGAGGTGGCGGTCACCTCAGAGATTTGCACGTCCGTTGGCGCCGTGGGCAGTGCTGCCGATATAGATATAAATTATGATATGTTCTTTTATATTTAAATTGATGTATTTTTCTTCTACTCACATTGTACTTTGACCACGGATACGGCTTCAATCTGACCCAGCGAGGAGGCAGCTATGCAGGTGAAATTCGCGCTCTCCTGTATATTACTCAGCTCCAGCACATTTCGACCTATGGGTATATCATTCTCCGGTGTCAGATCTTGTGCGCCTATTAAAGAACAGAATTAAATGTTGGCTATCATGCAAGTAAACTTCATTTATAATTACCCTTTATCCATTTGACGTGTGGCATGGGTGAGCCAACGGCAATACAGGACAGATTCAGATTTGCGCCCAGCATCACTTCGCTGATGGACTCTGGTGGGCGTGAGAAAGTGGGAGGAACGCGACGCACTTTCACATACAAATGTGTGGCCTTCGAATGCTCTGTTCCAATCGAATTCTCTGCAACGCATTCGTATTTGCCCTGATCCTCTTCGCGACTGTTGTTGATTGACAAGACACCTACAAGAAATCAGATTGAGCATTATTTACATTTGTATCTATATATAAGAAAAGTTCGTACTCAAAATGTTTATTGTTCTCAGTTAAATCTTAAATTTAAACTAGATCTTTTGATTTTTGTTAACTGTATATAATTCAGCGACTTTTTTCTTATACTAAAAAATATTCATCATTTCTATCATGATTCTTTCGCAGTCTCATTTATCATATTTTAACATTTTCACTGCCGATATAATGTGTTTTTATTCATTTCTTTGGTTTATTGGCTTAGTAGCTTAGGTATACCCCAAATCTAGGTAGCCTTTAGGGCCTGCTAAAACCAGGTAGTCGCCTTATTATAAAGCCTGGTTGTTGGTTACAGATAGGGTTAATTCCCAACTCCTCAAAACAACAGCTGAGAAAGCACTTCTGCAAGCGGTTCAAGTTGTGGATTTGTGATAGATTATTTGTGCTCCATTATATTTGAGAGAATACTTATCTTGAGCTCTACCTAGACATCACTCCAAAATCTACCTGTTTGCCTATATAACATAAGTATTTTGTGCCACACAACTCACTTATTTATTGGCAGCTAAGCTAAGCACAACAATGTTTCACTCAGTTTTAATTTCACTGCTGTTTATGTTGTCGGACGTCGAGAGCAACTCGTACTTGACAGCGGAGCAACCACTTGCTGAACAATTTGAGATGCTCGATCTGCTAGATTTGGGCAACAGACCCAGACGGCTGGCACAACCGGAGTTGCATAACTCAGCCTCAAAGTTCCTGCTGGAGGTTTACAATGAGATCAACGAGGAGCAGGAGCCACAGGAGGTGCTGCATCAGCGTCACAAGCGTTCCATGGAAGATGATATACTGTTAACTAGGGCGGATCGTCAAGAAATAGCCAGTAGCAATAGCATATTGACCTTTTCCAGCCGCAACCGGGACCTTGGCAATGAATTAGATATGCATATAACATTTAATACGAATGATGTTCCCATGGACTTAATGCTAGTGCAGGCCATGTTGCGAATTTATAAGCAGCCCAGTTTGCAGGAGCAGCGCCAGAATCTGACAATTTCCGTATACAAAAAGATTTACAGTCACAATCAGGATGGGGGAGCATATCGCATTTTGCAGTCGCTGAATACTACAGTCAATTACAAGGGCTGGCTGGAGTTCAATCTGACGCAGACGCTGCACACCTGGCTGCTCCATCGAGGTCTGCAGAAACAGCGACACGAGCTGCGCATCTCTTTAGGCGACACAAAGCTGGGCGCCTTAGCCGCTGGCTTGGTACCGCCGCAGGAATTGCACACCAATTTGGAGCCCTATATTGTGGGTTATTTCAATGGGCCCGAACTGCTAGTCAAAGTGCAAAAATTACGCTTCAAGCGGGAGCTGCACAAGCGTAAGGCGACGCTGGCGGCTAGTGGTTATCATCACATGCCACCGCCAGATTATTATAAGCCGCCGCAGTCCTGCGAGCGGCTCAATTTCACCGTGGACTTTAAGGAGCTGCAAATGCATAATTGGGTCATTGCACCCAAGAAGTTCGAGGCATACTTCTGCGGCGGTGGTTGCAATTTTCCTCTGGGTACCAAAATGAATGCCACAAATCATGCAATTGTTCAAACGCTGATGCATCTCAAGCAGCCGCATCTGCCAAAGCCTTGCTGTGTGCCCACTGTGCTAGGCGCCATAACCATACTTCGATACCTTAACGAGGACATCATCGATTTAACCAAATACCAAAAGGCCGTGGCAAAGGAATGCGGATGTCATTAGAAAAGCGTAGAGGAATGCGGCGGAAAACCAGTCGACCCTCCAAAGGTTTTAGTAAAATATAAATATATCAGACGACCTGAAACAGTCTAATCTGGTTTATAGGGCATTGGTTTAAAGATGAATGTCCGCCCCTTTTTGACTTAGAGTACCTTTAAAGAATTAGAGAGGATGAAGGCTAAGGACCATATCGGTTATACAAGAGCGAAAAAGGCTCAGTTTTCATCCTCCCGTTCCAGTTCTGATATTTGTAAGCAAATTTATATTTAAGCAAAAAAGCTTTAATGATTTATAACCTTTTATGAACTCTGAGCGGACGCATATGTAAGTAGCCTTAAGATCTTAGATTTATCAATAAATTTTAAAGTCAAAGTGTGCAGGATGCCCTTTCATTCGTTTTGTAGCTTGGCTTTAATGGCCAAATCCGCATGATACTCATTGGCCCATAAAATGGCCAGAATTTACCTTCTTTTTATGTGAGTGTGTGGATTGGATTGTGGGATGCTCGGGAAGCGGAGTCGGCTGGACGGATGGATGCAACACATGAAAATTAACACAGTTTTTATATGATTTTAAAGGCCGTATAAAAGTTATGACAGTGTTGTTGCCGATGTGAACAATCCTCAGCCTCGGGTCTATTAAATATTGAGCGCATTTTTTCGGCATATTAAGCTAATGTGAATGACACATATAAAACGTCGTAAACTGTGTCAAAAACCCTCGCATTATATTTATATGACCAATAAACAATGAAATATGTACTCAAACGAGCTAATTCCGTCTGTCATAAACCTACATAGACATTATACAATATACTCACAAGTGAGTATAAATATTAGCTGAGTGCGATTGTTAGTTCAAGTTTATGCTAAATTGCTTAGACTGATTGTGTATCGAAAACACATCTAATTATAAAATTTCGATTCCTGAATACAACAATTTACGCTTAAAAAGACTAGAAGTAATCAGTTGCTTTCATTTTTAAATACTTAATACTCGCCATGAAATGTTTATGGGAAGTACTCGCATAAAATATGCATCATATTTGTGGTAACAGGTATTTTGCATGTTTAAACTAATACGAAAGAAGATTCGTAGAGTTTAATCGTTTTATTATTTATAGAGCACATTTTACTATTTTGTATATAGTCAGATTTGATTTCACTGGTACTTTCAATTTTTTTTAATGGTTGACAAAAAAATGCCACTGAAATTGCATTTCATAATCTGAGAGGATTGACAAATTGTTTTTATTATTAACATTTAGAGGCGAGCAGCTCTTATATGGGATGAAAAGAACGCCGTTGCTTAATTTGCAATGATCCCAAACCAAATAGTGGTTCCTTTAATATAACCATTACAGTTATTCGCCCAAAAATGTATTTATTGCTCTTTATAGTGGTTTATAAATTTTATGAAATATTCCAAGCATTTTACGTTTTAAATCAATTCGATGAATTTTTGATTGCAGTAATTTAATTATTAGTAAAATATAAAAACAAATTTAAAACTTTATGACATTAAAGTCTGGGCTTTAAGGTCAATAGCCATGAGTAGAATAAAAACAAAATCTGCATTAAAAAAACATATTTTTCTGCTGAGCGAAAATGTCAAATATTTTCATTTTTCTAAATGTCAACTATTTGTCTTCTATTTTATGTACAATATGCGAAAAGTGAAAAACGATTGGTGAACAAGTGAAAGGCTGCAGCTAATGTAAATAAAGTTTTCATACTTGCATAGATGTGTGTTTTGATGCTGGGCAATTAATGGAAATGTGCTTCGCTTCGCTGCAAGCAGCAGAATAATAAAAATAAAGCACAGTCAAAAGAAATGCAATAATATGGGGACACCGAGTACACTGAGTGAATCATTTTAATGACTCGTGTTTTTGCCTCCCATCCCGCAACATGAAGTGTGTATATAAATTGTATAAATCGAGCCGTGCTAAATGTTGCAAAAATGGTTCTGCTACTCGTGTATATTATGTGTGTGTTTTTTTATTGGGGAAGGGCAACGGAAATGGGAAAGCTGAAAAAGTATAAATAAAAAGCAAACAACTAAAAATGATGATGTATGCTGCTAAATGATTGTAGCGCCGTTCTTTTTTTTCCACTGTGTACAACCATTTCGGGATCGTTTTGCTTTTATTTTAGTATTTTGTTTTTGTGGCTGTTAGGTGAACATGCATCAAAGTTGATTGTTGTGAAATTTATTGCATACTTTTTTGGCTTGTTTGTTGCACATTTATTATGCTTGTTGCGCTTTCCGTACCGCCAGCAACACCACTTTTCGTATAGTTGTTGTTATTTAGGAATCGCCGAACCATTCAAACAACCATTAAATGCCACTGCATTTTAACTATGGATATTGGGTACGTAGTCTGTTTTTTGTACTTTAAATAAATGAATGCTCAACCACCGGCATTTGCTTCGTTTGCGTGGTAGAATGTTTCGCAAAAGGTTGATTAAAATTAATGCAAAGCAACTTTCATTAAAACATTAACATAAGCCACACACAATGTGGACGAAATAAAGAGAGAGATAGGGAAAGAGAGACAGTGGAGTCTGGAAGGGTTTTCAAAAGCTATCCAGCACTTTTGCCTGTGCAATAAAAATTATGCTATGAACAACATCTGAGCGTCGTCCCATCTGGTGACCTTTTAGCCTCCAGATCCTCTTCCTGTCTGTCCCAATTGTGCGTGTGCGTGTGTGTGTGTGAACTCTTATGAAAATTAAAAATTCTCTCAAGCATCATAAAAATAAAGAAATGGTAAAACTTAAATTGGGTGCAGGGCGAACCGGTTTGGAAAATGAGTTATCAAAAACGAGTTCCATTTCTGCTTGTGGTTTAAAATAATAGGTGTTTTCTCAAGAATACAGAGTTCAGTTCAAGCAATTTCAAAGTTGAGGTGAACTGTTTCAGTACACTGCAAAATCCAAATTTGTTGGTTCGATTCGCATATATAAATATTCTTTAAGGCTCCTATTAAGGAACCTCGATCCAGCGCTAGGAATATTCGGGATAAAAGACAGAGAGAGTAATCCTTTCAACAGTTTTGGATTAATAAGCAGCATAAGCTTAAGTAAGAGGCTCTGAACTGCGTTCTATAAGTAAATTCTGACAGTGGCTTTCGAACCAGCTAAAATAATTGCTGAGTGCATCCTTCAAGCCGCAGCACTTTTAATCGAATTAGAACCACCGAAAATTGCATGCATACCGGAAACGAAGCCATTCAAACCATGCCCAATAGTTGGCATCTTTGTGTAGCACTTTGGTGGCGCTTTATTGCTGAATCGCTTTTAATGGCCCGAACGACTATTTAGCCAAAGTCAATCAGAGCCAGGCGACAGCGGCAGAAGGCAGGCAGGCAGGCAGGCAGGCAAAAGAGCAGCGCGTTTTTGTCTTTTGTGCCAGTGTTGCCATTAACAACAGGCGCGAGACAATGGCGACTCCCAATACAAAAACCAGACACGGACCTGTGCCCAGGCCACCCCTAAACGCAAACCTGCCTCTACGTATGTGTGTGCATGGCACACATGTGGCACGCCACAACTGCACTTCCGCTTGCGCAGTCATTTTCATATTTTGTAACTTCCGTTGCCACACACACAAATACATACATACATACACACAAGCGCAGGGAGGAAGGAGGGTAAAACTTATCGCTTGGCTGAATCCCACAGCCACTAAGGCGTCTGCTCACAGCTTGGCACAGTGTGGCCAAATGGGATTATTAATTAAATTATACTTTAATTTAAGTAGTCGTCATCTCCAGCAACAATTTGATGGTAATGTGAGGAAAGGGATTGGGTACATAAAAGTTTAAAAGTTTTTAATTTAACCAAGACTTATAGATACCAAAATAGAAGCAAGAAAAAAGTATGACAAACTTAACTGACCTCTGGAATGGAGGTCGAATTGGGATCGAATGTAGTCTCTGAAGGACCGCCTCTTTCAGTCATGCAGAAATTTTGGGCAATTACTGTCTCATTTTCAAGAAAAGTGACTGTCAACTCTTTGGGAGTTGCGTGTTGAGGGGGTAGCTCATAATTTAAGCATTAAACTTTCTCAAATGCTTTCAAGTTGACTTGGTCTTCACTACAGTTTTACAGCTCAAGTAAATAATTGCGAGTGCCCGCCCCGAAGCAGGCGCCTGCCTGCTCACGACAAGTGCCAGTCAAGAGTGCTGGGTGTCGGTATGGGCCATGCAGGGGTAGCAGGGATAGCAGCAGCCCACGATTGTAATGATGGGCACAGTAATTAAAGTTATAGTCGCATGATTATTTTAAGGGGACTGAGTGCTTGTTTTTAAAGAGGCTGCAGCTGCGCCCAAAATGTTGCCACGTGTAGTTTAAGTTTAACAAGAGTACATAAAAGTGGCAAAAAAACACAACACAGTGCCTTTAGAAAGAGAGAACGACATGGACAGAGAGAGAGACAGAGAGAGATAGAGCATGTGCGTGCGTGTGTGCACAACAAACGGACAGCTTGGAGACTGCGACAAGGTGTATTCGTTTACGACAATGGGCAAACATAAAGATTAAACTGCTATTCGGGGCTTACGACATGGGCATTACGAATTTAAAACAACATTGTGCTAGTAAAGATTTAAGACTGGACTTAAAGATATATGTGAGTAGTTTTACTAAGTTTATAAAATAAGCATAAAATTTCACTGAATAGTTCCCTTTGTATTCAAGTTTAATACAAAAATGGACATTGTATGATCTATTTTCATTTTCCCAACTTTAGCAGAGCTAAAAGTAACCATTGATTGTGTAATGTTAATTTAGTTTGATAAACTAAGATAAAATTAAGTTTTACTCAATCAATCTTCGTTTCGATTTAAGGAATACTATATATATCCCAATTACTATATATATCCCAATTACTCTTTAAGCCCAATTAGAATCGTCTGAACAATTTACTCAATACTAACACTCACTCATGATTCTAGCTGTCTGAAGAACCTTTTCCAGTGATACAGCAATGTGCTTCAGTTAAGCTCTCTTAAGTTGGTTTTCCACTCAATTCCCCGGTTCGTCATGCAAATCATTAACTGCTTGCCATTGCCATTTGCCACTTGCCACTTGTCATATTGAATTCATTGGACAATGACAACCCTTTGTCGCCGTCTCAGTCAAGCTTCATGGGGTGACAGTTGTGCGCGTTCTGCGTAAGCTCATTGCCCATTCCACGTACTGGCCATTAAAACAATTGGCCAAGCAAAACCAATTTCTGATAAGCCTCTTTTGCTTAAAAGCTAAATTATGGTATTTGAAAAATATTCGCCATACCTTTTTTCTGTTTTTTCTTCATGTTGTTGTTGATCGTCTTGTTGTTTTTTTTTTTTTTTGCAATAAGCAGCCCAGGATTGCAAAGACCCTGAACCCCCAGCTCCTAGCCCCCAATCCAGTTATAAAGTAATTTCCCCAGACGCATTGAACCCTTCTAAACAAAAAATGCGAAGAAGAAGAAGACAAGCAGCCGCAGAACATGGTCAGTAGAAGCGGCGAATGCAGGTTCTTGCTGCTGCTTGTTTTTATTATTATTTTTATTTTTTATTGAACAAAAGCCCTTTGGGACTATTTGGCGGGCAGGCGAATAAAAATAAAGGTATTATGCTCAATATTATTGTCGGACTGTCTGTCTGTTTGTCTGCTGGTCGGTCGGTTTGTCCCCCATAGCTGCGCCTATGCCACAGCGTGGACAAAATTAACTATCAACGGCAATGCGGCAATGCCCCGAAGTAATTTTAAATAAAATATTTATAAATGTATTTGCGCATTGAAGTGCGACCGTTGTCATTCGCCAAAGGGCAGAAGCGGATAATAAAACGCCAAATGCAGCGATTTACATAACAGCGAAGTATTTTATACCCTTCTCGCAGGGTCACTTAACACACACATACAATTAAGGGACTTGATTAGAAGGTACTTGGCAGTACTCAATGTGAATGCCTCTCAATTGTTAAATAAAATTTTATGTTCATCATTGTGCCAATTTTGTTGTTTGCCTAAATTAATCAGTAAGAAAATAAGTTCAGCATGTCATTACAATTTATACTCTCTTGAGAGCACATTTGCCTTTTCAATTCTGTTCTGCTTTAAATTCAGCAGAAATTATATATTGAATTGAACTTATGCTTTATGCATTTTCTGATTATATCAGAGCTTTATGAATAGGCAAAGTATTAAATATATAAAAATATCAATTGTTGCTTAGAAGGCACTTTAATCATTTTTAAGATGCATTAGCAATCCAAGAAAATGCTTCACAAGGACTACATAATAATCACATTAACAAGTCTTAAAGCAAATGGGGCGTGACCAAAGGCGGAAAATGATTGTAACTATGACAAAGGCGACAGAGAACATGGGACCGGAGACGGCAAAGGGATACCCAAGGCGTCTTATTAAAATAATAAAGTTCTAATTTAATTATGAAGCAAGCACAAAGACAGTGCAAGGGAATGAGGGCAAATCGGGGGAGGTGGGACAAATAGAACGCAATGTGAGCTATGTGAAGTGCGACTATGTGGAGTTACTTTTCATTTTGATAACTCACGTACCCCTCCCGGGGGCCCTAATTAGCAGGCAACGGCCGTATAACCGAAAAATCAACGCGCCTCAAGCTGCCTTTTGTGGGTTGGGCTGTGGCTGGCGGGTGGTGAAGAATGGTTTGCAAAATAAAGGACCATAAAGTGCTAATTGAATAAAACGGCACATGACTTGCATAACTTATTTTCAAAAATATATATATATACATAATACCATATTCTCCCGCCCATCATTGCTATGCAGCCCGAATAAAATAGAATCTGAACTGTACAGAACCTAACCAAACCGAACCGGACCAAACTGAACCCGTCCGCGCCTGGAGCGAAAATTTATTTCATTTTCATAAATTTAAAACGTACTTTAAGACAAAAGTAGAGACACACGGGCAGGTCAGCGCTGGTGCAGGGGAAGCATCAGCAGCAGCAGCAACAGCAACAGAAGGTGCCGCTTAGAGACGTTTAGGGCACCCAAAAGGATATTTAGCTGGCGGAAATATTTTTACGTTTCGTTTAACGTGCCAAAGATGGCGACTCGCTGTCTTCTAGCCAGCTCTGCACCAAGTTGTGCGGCCCACGTAAAACTAATTTAACCCGCAACGTCCATGGCCACTGTTGTTCGTGTTACGCTAAATTAGTCGACCTGTGCCTCCCGCCGCCTGCCACACACTAAGAGGCGGCAGGAAAAAAAAAACAGAAACGAAAATTTGCCTCGACATTGCGAAACAACAGCAACAACAACTACAACAACAGGAGAGCACACACTATGCTAGACCGTAAAAAATGATTTTACCTTGGGGAAATTTTTGCAACAGTTTTTAATTTGTAATGCGCTACGGCCACTAAAACAAAGTGGTTAGTTCTTAGTGGGTAATTGCAACTGGCCATGAGTTTGATATATGTAGGTAATGCAAAATAACAAGAGTTGCAACGACTTTGTTAGGAGCTTAGAACAAGCTAATGGAGGCTACTGCAGAAACTACAGAATTCAATTTCGTTTTTAAATGAACAAAAGTTAAATCGATATTTTTATAGACCCAATAGGCAAACTCTATTCCAAGTAAGTAAAAAAGTAAACGTAATAAGATTAAAATAATTTTTGTTCGCCTTTTAATGGAATATGGAAACTTTGAATGCCAAAGAAAGAAAATGATAAAGTTAAAGTGCATTTTGTTATTAAAATATGGAAATGTTAACTTAAAAATGCATATGGTTAAATGTGAATCTTATCTATTATTAATATCGTTTATATTTTCAACGACAGATATAAAATGTGGTTAATTTGTATATATATTACATAAGTTGCTCATTTGCCATTGCCAACGTGTTCCGCTAATGAGCTTACAAACTGGGAAGTGCAGGGCGTTCGAGGACTTCCCGCTGGCCGAACCTTTGTTTGGTGTTGCGACGACGAGTCAATTGTTTAGTGGGTTGTCATTAAGCGAGCGTCCATTTCATTAGCATTGTGGCCAGGTTTGACTTGGGCCCTTGCCATTTTTACTATGCCCAACACGTTTTGAATTGTTAAAGCGGCTGCCGCAGGCCGGACCTTTCCGGAGTTGGCTTCCGGCTGTGGCGCCGCTGCTGCTGTAACTGGTCATGTCAGGACAGCATTCATTCAGACCAGGACCTGATCGGCCTGCCGCCTGTCGATAACACTTGCAATTGAAACGTGATGGTTTTTGTTCCCCAAGCCTTCCTTCCTCATTGCTAGCCCCCATCACCACTCCCCCCATTGTAAAGCTTGTCGACAACGCAACGCAAATATAATTATTGTTATCGCGACTGTCGCTTGGTCTGTCGGTTTTGGTGACGCGACACGGCAGGGCTTCGCGGCCATTGATGTCATTTTAAAAGGACTCTTTTAATGCATATTAATGTCAATATTAATGTCAATATTTGCGCTTCTAATGACCGTCCACTGCTGTTGACGGCTTTGTTAGATTCATCAACGACACGCCGTTTGATGTGTCATTCCAGGCACACAAGAAACTAGCAGCGACAACAACAGCCTTATCGGTCCTTATCGGGCATATGCCGTAATTAGAAATACCTTTGGAGAACTCGAAAGTCAAACCCGATGCATAGCTAAAGTAGTGATTGATTAAAGGACCCGGCGACATTTTGTTGACATTTGTAAAGTTTTCTACCTAATAAGATCTCAGCTAGCTGCCTCATAAAACAGCCGCAGCTGCCCAGCACCAAACAAAAAAAAGGAGCGCCATCCTTAAAGGACCAACTTTGCCATTTGTCAGGCAGCCAAGTAAGCTAAGCAAGGTGGGTGAGGCGTAAGGCACAGGTAGGAGGTAAGGTATGGGGCATGCTAAGGTAAGTTACGCAGCAGCAGCAGCAGCAGCAGCAGCAGCTGGCAAAAGTCAAACGTTAACTAAGCGCCGAAAAACTTGTAGCACAAAATGCGGCGAAGCATAAGTAAACTCCTAAGAAATTCAAATGAGCGTAAGCGCAAAATACTAAAAATAAAAGACGGAGATGGGTAGAAAAAAGCATGGAAGATCCCAAAAAGGTAGCGACAGAGACTTGAATTTTAATAAATGAAGTCGTTTCTCAGGGAGCAGCAACTCAGCAACCCTGGCAACCGGTTCGTTCAAGTTATGTGTTTGCTAGATGCACATGTCCTCAATGCCAAGAAGGAGATCAAAGGGATGGCTGCCAGTGAATTGAATTTTTTACAAACTGTTAGTAAGAGAATTCGTGTGATATTGAAATAGATGCGCGTTTGTTTAAATTTGGCGAATAGTTTTCCTCTCTCTTTTCTATTCAATTCGAAAAACAACTTTGAATTATCTTTTGAACATCTTGTAATGTATTATAACTGACTAGATTTTTATTGTTGAGATTTGCAACTCAGCTTTAATATATTTGCTGGATTGTATGCGCAATTACGATGATATTTGACATTTGCAACAGTAAAATAATATATATTTAATTATTCAGATATTAACTTACCGTTGTTTATAGAATATCGCGGATTGGTCATATCCACCTTGGTCTGGTTTATGATCCAGTAGATGTTGGGCGTGGGATTGCCGATGGCTTTGCACTGCATTTGGACTGTGTGGCCCACCTCAATGACGCGTGTGCCCGGGCCCTGTGTTATAACCGGAAAGCCCGCGGGTGTTTTATCGCCTGCAACGCAAAAAATGAAAATGAAAATGAAAATAAGTCGCAAAATGTTTGAAAATAAAGAAAAGCCAACCGTGTTGAACCGCTTCTCAAAATTATGTTGCATAGAGAACAATAACAAAATATATATGTGGCATGTGAAGAGTTTTTTATAGAAGGGTATGGAGTTCTCGAAAACAATATGCCACAAATATGTACGCACCCACATACACTCGCACATACACACCCATCCACACACACAACACACACATATAAAGTATTGTTTTACATGCAGCTTTTAAAAACGGAAGTTACCGTTTTTAAAAAAGCTTGCCTCGCTGCTCGGTTGCGTCGTTTGTTGCCGCTTTCTACGCCATTTTGTAAGTCAAACAATGGTGGGCACCAAACACACACACACACACACACACCCACTATATGAGCGTATGTGTGTGTGGAGCAAGGGTCAGCATTTTTGCTTGTGACAATTTCTTTTGTGGTACACTTTAAGGGCTTGGCACTCGTATTCGCAGCCGCCGCTGCATTCGCATTGTTTTTGCGGCAAAATGTTGAAGAAGGGGCGCCCTGTTAAAAGTAAATCCGCGACTAGCAGTGAAGAGGCGGCTGTGGCCGTTCTCGACTGCATCTTTCAAATGAACAAAGCTCATTTACATTTTCCAATTAAATCCAGCAGTCGACGGCAGGGGCGACGTCGACAAACTCCACCCCCAAATTACCCCGGCAGCTACCATTACGATGCATGGCACATCTGCCGGATGCTGTTGGCGCTTATCCCCTCTGGTGCAGTAGGAGTATTCCAACTATTTTATAAGATATGTAAGTTCATGTACATAAGTGTCGTGCATTAATCAGCTGAATACAAATGGAAACTTGGACCTACCAATGTTTGAATCTGTGTGGCTAGCTTTATAAAACTGAGGTATAGCAATTCCCGTTAATAGTCCTAACTATTTGGATTCTTATGATTGCTAAACTGCGAATTTATAATTTTAACAATTTAGATTTATAAATATGACATTATAAAATAGTCGCATAAATGGAAGGCTAATCTAAATTTTACACTTTTAAATATATTCTTTATTTTAGTGAAGTTTATTATTATTAAGTTTATTTAATTAACAGAATTTATCTTAGTGAAAATTTTGGCTAATCCAAGCATAAAAACCCTGACCATTAATGACATAAATGTTTTTGTAGTTCTTAAATTATTTGCTTAAAAGTATATTTTAAATTCGCTGAGCTTATTTTTGTTTTTATTATTTTCATTTGGGGATTGCTCTAAAAACATTTAACAGCGGCAACATCAACAATAAACGGCACAGGAGCTATCTGCAGTCCTTGTTTTCTCAGCACTCCCTCTCTACCCCTAATCCTACCATCTTCTTTCCCATGTCCGCAGAGCATTTTCTTACTATCAGGCTGGCTTGTGTTGTGCCTGTGTTTTTCAGCGTGAAATTAAAATTTAACCGAGACAAAAAACGCTACTGCAATGTATGCATGCATTATAATATATACACACAAATATACATTCACATCTATATAGTATATCTGCATATGCATAAATGCACAACAAGAAGAAGCAGCAGCAGCAGCAGCAGCTCAGCAACAATGACAACGGCACAGCGACAACAACAACAACAACAATAACAATCAACAACGAAAAAACAACAATATTGATGTTGACATTTGACGTTGCCGTCATTGCCGCCTCTCAACGTCCGTTTTATCTCTTAGTCTGTTGGCATTTTCAGCCATTTTCCCACCATCATGCACTCCTGTGGCACGCTCTCTTCGTTTTGGCGCTTTATTTATTATTGCAGCGCCACTTCTTCACAAATGCATAACGAAAAACACAGAACCCAACTGAAAACTGCGCCAAAATTAACAAATAAAACTTTTTATTAAACAAATGCAGAAAAGTGTGTTCTGCTTGCTTAGCGAGTGTGTGTGTGTGTGTGTGTGTGTGTGTGTGTGTGTGTGAGTGTGTATACATGCATGTGAGTTGCGGAATAAAGGAGAATATGACATACAGAAAGACAGGCGAACAAACAACACACAAATGCTGAGGGTAAACATGAAGTAGTGCTAACTGCGAGAGAAAAAACAGATTTTTTGCAGTCAAGAGATATAAAATTTTAGTGGAATCGCAAGTCCATGACGCACATTTCTGAACATTTGTACACATACACATATGCATATATCTATACATGTGTATATTGCAACCAAACTTTTCTTTATTGTAGAAATTGGTAAAAAAATCGATTTATAAACTTAAAAAGGAAAACATCTGTGCTACGAATTTAGTGCTAAATTTATGCTCTATATTGATGCAACACATTATTTTCATTGCTAGATCCAGTATAAACTACAAAGTTATGCACTCCACATTCAATAGAACCAATTAACTTTAGATTTATTATTTGTTGTCGGGACGGCGCGAACGCCATTCCCGGCTACCAAAAATTTCACGCACGATTTATTCGCATTAGGAATAATCGCAGACGTCAGCCCCACCTCAAAGTGCAATGGCAGAGTCTCAATCCGGAGGAACCGCCTTGGTGATCACGGTTAACCTCTACGTCAGGTAAGTATGCTTCAGTCGGCTCATCTCTTGGACTATTAAGCAACAGCTGCTAGAACCGTTTGGAAATTATAGTTCAAATCTAAAGCGCCTTGATGTAGGCAGTAGATTCTTGCAGGAGTAGAGGTATTAACTCTGATATGGAAAAATTGTAGATGATTGGGTTTTATTAGGAATCCAAAGTAAATTAATATTTAAAACTGTTTTTATGTTATCTAAGTCTAGGTTGCACATTAATTACGAAATTTAACTGAAGGGCTTTATGACTATTTTGTAGGTTCTATACGAATTTGCTGGTTCGGATGCCATATTGTGTACCCTTTTTAAAGTGGCGCTGTTGATTTTGTGGGTGCTCTTAAAGCATTATGTGTATGGACAAATATTTGGCATTGTTCTAAACTAAAAATATGCAGTTTTTCAGTAGCAGTGGAGCGCAAATACTGCACCATGACCAACTAGTGGCATTCACCAACACTATCGGTAGCAGCAAACCAACACACAAACACCACACGCTGGTTTAACGACTTTTCTGTTAAAGACTAAAGTTGTTGATTTTGATGCTATTGCTATTGCTATTGTTGCTGTTGTTGTTGCTGTTGTTGTTGTTGTTTTAGTTGACCCTATTGGCATGCTTTTGTTTTTGTCGTTGTTGCCTATGCGTCGCCAATTTTGAAAATGCAATGAAAAATTCGAAATGCAGAGGACAGTGAAAACTCAGGGCCTGGACAACGGTCGAACACTTCATTTGCAGTGTTACGAGAGGCATCGATGAAGTGAAAGGGTATGTGGGGAGAGTAACGAACGTTGACCAAATGCAACGCGCCAATGCGTGCTGGATGCGTGTGAGTGTACATTTATTATAAAGCCAAGCAGCCAGACAGAGAGAGAGAGAGAGAGAGGAAGAGCGATAGAGAGAGAGAGAGAGAGAGAGAGAGAGAGAGAGATGGACAAGTGGAGTACACTGCTGTCGTTGACTGCCAAATTCATGCGGCTTTTCATGCATTTCAATTAAGCTGCTGCTTGTTGGTGGTTGCTGCTGCTGAAAAGTGTTGGAAAATGTGCGAACAATGTATTTGGGCAGGAGACGAGACAAGAGACAGGCTGCATATTTCTCGTTGAGTTTGGCGACAGCTTTTTAATGAATTAGCTAATAAAGGCAAAGTCGTGTCGAGTGCTCCACCTGGTCGCACTTTGCTTTCATTTCACTTCTATTGGGATCACATACATACACACATACACACACACACACATACAAACAGTAATACCAACAGCAACATGCTCACTCCTCAATACAGTGTTGGCAGTGTCTTGACGGCGATAAACATCATTAGACGGCACAAAAGCAGCGGCACATAAAGCGCTTTATTTGCATGTTGTCTGCTTTTAGATGCCACTGACCCCCCTCGCGAGGGTGTGTGGAGCTGTGGGCTGGAGGAGAGGGCAAGGAGCGTAGGATATCCCATACAACACATACAAGCCATGGGCTCGGATGGCAGGTGTTTGCATTATTGAGTCACTTTCAAAGGCGCATTTTCACACCGCGTTTTTTCTGTCTCAGTTTTACTCTGATAAATATGCTGTTTACCCACCCGGGTTGGATGGAGGGGAGGCGTTTGGGCGGCTCGTATACCCTGCCCTTGGGCATTAACAATTTGTCAAGAGACATGTAATGGAGGCATTTTTCGAAATCCATTATGTACATAAGGTCTAGATAAAAATATGATACATCTGCTTCACTTTTGTACAGCTAATAAATATGAGAGCCGTCGATCGAAAAGTTGGTGTTGACGATACACATATTAACCGGATTCCATTTATATGAAGTTGATCTTAAATATGGCAAAAATGTATTAATATTAGTGTATCCCATCTTCGGCACTTCTGAGTGACTTCACAGTTCCTTAATGTTTGAGCTACCTTCGTGTTGGTATAGCAAGCATTTTACAGACGCCAAAAGCTAAAGGCAGAAAAAAAAGAAAACAAAAACAAAAACAAAAAGAAAAACAGAAACAGTAACAAGAACGGCGAACAAAAATTACTGTGAACTCAGTTTAAAGAGACTTTGTGACTTTCGACTCAGGACTTGGGCTTGCTTGGTCTCGGTATTGGACTTGTGCCTTTAAGGCAACTAGCAACTGGCCACAAGTAAATTTACATATTTTAATTATTCATGCATTTTTAAGATTGATAAGAGGCGCCTTTTTTCATACCAGCTCCGTAACTGGGGCCAAGCAAGGGTCGACTTTTCTTGCTGGTTCTTGCTTCTTGCGAGTCTCTCACAAAATGCCATTTTCCCACTAGTCAGCATCTGCGAGCATTAGCATTAGCTGTGGCATTTGCATCGAATTGTTGTTATTGTTAAATTATTAAAAGAGCTGAGATGACAAAAGTATGGATTATAATTTATTGGGAACATTAAGGGATT